CCAGGGCCTCCAATAGGTTAAAGATGGCACTGTTACAGGCCCTGCCAGAATACTAGCGCTGAGCGCATTATGCTGAGGCATATCTCCCCCTCTCCCTCTCCCCCTCTCTCTCTCCCTCTCACTCTCTCCCTCTCCCCCCCCCCCCCCTCTCTCTCTAATGCCTTTTGATCGTTTCCAAATAGTCGAGGTAAGAGCGACCGCCATAGACCTGTAGATTCGATAGTTTCATCATATCAACACCAAAATTGGGTTTATTTCCCTTATTTACCAGAGTAAGGACGTCACTGGGTGAATGTGAACAAAAAACAAAATACTTTGTTCCGACATACGGGGCCTAACAATCAAAGATAGCATGCGAATGATGAAATAATCAATAGTCTTTCATAAGAATGACCTATGTCGAAGGGTGATAAAAGATCTATAAATATTTGTCTCACAACAGCAAATATATTTGTGTTTAGGTATATTGTAACAACTAAGTAGAAGGGTGTGTCGAATGAAACTTTAAAGTCCCTATCATTTCATAATTATTATTTAAAAGTTACACGTTATGTGAAAAATACATTTTTCTACTGTCCCATGCCTGACATCATTGATGCTTTGACATCAATTTTCTTCTTTTCTGGGTATGTAAGGTAAGAGTACCAATGAATGAAACCTTAAGGCATTTTGGATCTTTAAAAATTAGATGCAGCTACTTCAGGGTGCCTGGGCAATATAAATGCTACTCTTTTATATTCAAAAATATATTCAAGTTTAATATAGCATGGGCAATATGCCATTAATGGATGGATAGATAATGCAAAATAACCCGAATTCGCCAGTGAATGAACACCAAAATCTAGTGTATGAACATTTCGTACTCCAGTGAATGAACGTTTAGCGTTGCAAACGTTGGAAAGTGAATTATCATGGGATTCTGATTTCTAGTTAAATTAGTACTAATCACAATCTTCTGATCATTCATTTACTTAGTGTTTTAATAATATAATTTTGAATAAGTAATAGATTTCTTATTTTATTGAAAAACTCTCTTTGTTCATTCACTCGGGGGTGTTCATTTACTGGAGCACTTACCCTCACTGGATTTACTGGCAAAAATCCTTGTATTGTTAGTGCCCACAATGTACTTACTAAAGGTAAGGTACTTTTGTGCAAAATTTGATGCTTCTCATAATTTTCTATGTGCATTTTTAAGCCTTATTAATCAAAGATATTATCACTTCACACACGTTGATTTTTGAAGAATTCTTTGCCTAAAATATTTTTATCTCTACATGTCTATCGTAAATATATTTAAATATTTATTTAAACTGTTAAAAATATTACCCCACTTCATAGAAAACCTTGAAGAGTTAACCCCTCATTTGTTTTAGATAGTCTCTTCATTAATTTTAGTTAGGTATTGGGCCCAATTCTGGCGTGCCAACTTATATCTAAAACTAACTAAAATTAGATATAGACTTGTCAAATTCAATTTGGTATTCTGCAATGACACTCTATCTCTAAATCAAAAACTGACGTTGCTAAGTTACTCAACTCAGATTTAGTTGATTATTTGGTATTCTGAAACGCGTTCTAAATGTCATATTTTCTCTAAAATTAGAAATGTCACACTAAATTTAAGAAGGACCTATGGAGGTCCTCTCTAAATTTAAATGTGAATAATTAGGTAAATGATTGCTACAGATAAGTTTTAAACTTATTGTTAGGGTTTGATATGGGTTTGGTTGGTTAAAAAAAGTTATAAATTAATACTCAAATATGACGTTGATAATAATAAGTGGAAAGATTCATTTACTGAACTGTTTGCCTCGAAAACTTCTTTTCTATAGTTTGGTTGTTTTAAGTACGTGTTTTTGTTTTTCTAAATCTACTTAATGGTGTCGGTGATATGCATTCCAATCACCAATTCCAATCCAAATGTTATTTTGACTTTAAATGTAGCTATTTTAGACTTTAATGTATAATTTATTCCTTTCTTTTTAGTGGTTTTGTTTTTATGAAGCAGTTTTTGATATTTGTTAGAAATATTTTTATTTACCACTTTTTAATAGCTAATCATATTTCTTAAAATAACTAAACACGAACTAAGTTTCTGCTGTTTGTCATTGAGAAGTTTGTTTTTATATATGCGAAAGTACTTGTCATCTTCACCAAATGAATTATTGGGATTTGGGACCATCTCGCTAAAATCTGATTGAAACAATAAAGATAAAAAGGATTACGCATCTCACGTTATACAATAAATGAGAACAAAATCTTCACAAAACAGCCGAGGGGATAATAACAACCACTTATCGCAACCGCAATTTATAATCGTAGGTATTAGATAGATGCTCTGGATTGCGAATTTACGATGCGAGACATTTTCAAAGATAATTCACGTTAGACCGTGTCGGCCGTAGCAGAGTTAACTAATATAAAATAATATATTTTACATGGATTATGGACACATTCATGCTATTCCGGGCGGTAACCGACAGACAACAGAGCAACAAACGAACAACGTTAAGAAAAAAACTTGGTCTCGCCTCGGCCCCGCCACGGCCCGTTGCATGAACACAACGCCGGCGTGGTGTCTGAAGTATCACTACGATTGCCAGGCAATCGTATTATTACTTCAGACAAAAAAAAACGATTTTGCTCGGACGAGTACTTAAACCCTATTTACTTTATCTGTATGAGTAGACTGCATCACGGCACAACGGTACCTACCTAAATGCTCAGTCGAGGCACGTCTTTGTAAATTGCAGGTGCGTTACCGGCTCGATGACCGTGCTACGGCTGAAGCTCGGCTGGGACTCGACGCAGTCTAGCGTGACTGATCATCCTTAATAGATTTGTTAGGTACCAAAATCTAGTTGGTACCTATATTTGCATTTTATTTTAGAAGTGGTGGCTTTCCCCAACCATTTGCCAAAAAAAATACTTAGAGCATGCTCTAAGAAAAAATATGAATCCAAAGTTCTCCCCGCAGATTTAATTTCCCCAAGTTCATATTTTTCGCCAAAATAAGAATAAATACTCCCAATCTAAAAACCCTAAGTACCACAGAGTAGGCAAGTTTTCACTCTTTTACTGATTCATAATTTCTCATACAGTGAAATAACAAGCTTATGTTAAGTTTCCACATTTCAAAGATGAAGAACAACAAAGAATTACTGAAATAAGTCGAAATCACTGAATAATAAGTATTTATTGCTATTTTGAGTAAATCGATAATTACCGGTTCAATGCTTTTACCTTATCTGTGAATTCAATTTACATGCTCGTTTGCAGCTGTCAACTGTGATCTTAATTTAGTTAGTTCGCAATTTCAGAATACCAATTTACTAAACCTTAACTAAAATTAGCACTCTAATTTTAAGTTTAGGTTTAGAGAATGTAACGCCAGAATTGATCCCATTTATATATAATATGCATGATAGCAAACTCGAAATAGATGCCCTCGTGCGGCATGTAAACAACTATCTGTAGGATCAAGGAAGATCGTCGAAATGCGCCTTGAATATTGACATATTTATATTAATCACTGATACAGTAATTATAAGGTTAAAATCTATAAACAATATGATTATTAGTGTGCCCCGCACAGGCGAACTCAATGAAATATTTTATTTGTAATTGTTGTTTTACCTTTTGTTGACATTAATAAATACAATTTATTTATTTATCCATTTACCGAGCACAGGCACAGAGGTTGGGCAATACGGATTCCCCGCTGAAATTGCGGCGCCCGCCCAGGGAAATCTCTCTATTCTATGCAGGAGCGGATTTAAATATCGTGGGGCCCGGGCTGAAATTGATGAGGGGCCCATTTAAGGATATGAAATCATCTGATTCCCAATTGTTCCAAATGCATTCGAACTTGCACGCATTTTAGAATGTAGAAGGAAGGGATACATGTACGTACAGGTTAAACTTCTTTGCGGTATTTCATGGGATGACGGGGGCCCCCGCCGGGACCCGAAACTCTAGCCCCCCAAGCCCCTACGTAAATCCGCTCCTGATTCTATGATAAAAAAAAACTCCTTAAAAAAGGGATGTGTTACTGTTGGTGAGTTCACATATGGTGTCTGGGTTCTAAGTAAACAAAGTTCATTACTGAGAAAAACAGTTCGCGGAATTCACAAATTACATAACTTCTTCAATTACATATGGAATACTAACTTAGGTACATAATATTTATTTTCGATAGCAGTACATATAATGAGACAAAATACTAAGGTATTTTGTCTGTTAGTCATTTTACATAAGACTAAAATAAAATGCTCTATTTGACTGCAATTAGTAAAAGGAAGCAGGCAAGCGGTCATAGAAATTCTGTGCAAGCAGCATTATTTAAACGGTAAATCCTTTATGAATGCCCTATCATAAAACAAATAAAACTTATCCATCCGCTGAGAATGGAAGCTCCTAATTTCAAATGTATCTAGGTGTTCCCCGTTACGTTACTCAGCCAAATGTAAACACAATATATTTTTTGTTGTTCATTTATTTAATACAAACACTAACCGATATGATACCTATCAATAAACTTCGATTCACATCGGTCTCACCGTCAGATTGTCACCGACGAGAGGCGAGTGCGCGTTAAGTGCTTCATACTAATTAAATACCTACTACTCATTTCATATTAGGTATTTAATATGCACGAGAGCGGTTGACTTGAATAATTTTCTTAAAAAACTTTTAAACAAAAATCGTGCATAGTTCGTCTATGTTATATACCTACATAGTTATAAAAAAGATCTCAATTCTCAAGTATTGCTGCTTGCTGCATCTTTAATACAATCTTCACGGGGTAGAGGATTGGATCAGGGAAGCAAACGGCGCGAAAATTGAAAATTTTGGTAGGTTTCGTAAACATCTATGGTCAGGCTATGGTGCCCGTTTACCATCAGGCGGGCCATATGCCATTTCAACATAAAAAAATATTGATTTTTATAATTTTTGTAGATTTATTATAACTAGTTTTATTTCCGGTGTTCCTCTAGAATCTTTGGAAGTGCGTGTTCGGATTCCTCAGACTGTGAACGAGTGAAGAATAAAAAGAGCAGAAGCAAGAGGAGGTGAGTTATTATTTATCTATGCATATAATAAAATGGTAGGAAAGTCAATACTTGGGGTGTGATCTACAATCGATACCGAAGCCAAAAATATAGTTTTTAGAATTTTTGTCTGTTTGTCTGTATGTATGTCCGGGATAAAACTCAAAAAGTACTGCATGGATTTACTTAAAATTTGGCACGAACATTATTACGAAGTCGCGGGCGGCCGCAAGTATTATTATAAAACAAAAAACAGTACCCCTAGCACGAACCATTATCGAATTCGAATAGTTTGTTGTTTTTTTAGTTTTAGTCAATGTCAAATTTTGTATGGAAACTTGAACAGTAGCGCCACAAAGTACGCAACGAGAACTAAAAATCAGTACACATTTGACAATGACATTTCGGACTCACAAACGTTGCGAATTCGATATTGGTTCTTGTTTTTTGGTCGATATTAATAACGGCAACAGGTGGACGCTTGATATATTCACAGAATATTTAGTTGTAGGTATATTCACTTTAAAAATATATCGTTTAATTTAAATAAAATAAATATTTAGGGGGATATTATGCAATATAACATGCAATTCAATTCAATTTTTTGGTGATTATGGCTGCGTCTCATTACGTGACGATTCTGCCAATGTCTGGAATATAACATGCAACAGATGTGTTTCTTTTTCCCTTATAATTATAATATAGTATCGAATGTTATATAAATAAAGGTCCCACCTAGAGTTGCCTGATCGCCAAAACTAGTAGCCGGACAAACCAGCCAGTCTTGCCGGATATTTGCGTAAAAAGGCTGGACACCCTACATTATTGAGGATATTGTGGCTCAGTAATATTAGGAACGATAAAAAATTGTATGTATAAGCGACCGACAATCAACTCGCTTGTGCTCGGTCACGTTCGGCGCTCACTCGCTAGCGAATTTTTTTTTTAGACACTCATTTATTTATTACATTTTAAGGTGATGAATATAACATAATTGTGATGTAGAGGATTCGATATTTGGTAGAGTAGCCCCATCAGAATCCGAGGCCGTGTCGAGATGCAGCCAGGGAGGTCGAATGGGTGGGAAAGACAGGGAGAGGAGTGGACGGTTTAATAATAGTGAGAGGCGAAAGAAGAGGAGAGGAAAGAAAACGAAACAGAAAATAAATAAAAGGTTTAAAGGATGGGAGTAAGAGTGTAAGGGAATAGGTTTAACAATCTTGCATGATATACAGCCATAGACGAAAGCGAAATTTAGAAAGCATACTAAAAGCCGGACAAGCCAAACACCGTTTATTTTTGCCGGACACGTAATCAAAAAGCCGAACTATGTCCGGCTTTATTCGGACGCCTGGCAACGCTAGTCCTACCATGCAAGAGACCGGCTCTCTTTTTGCCGGGTTGTCGAAACTAGTGAACGCACGGCTCCCACCAAAGGAGTTCTGCTCCTCTTATGCTGGACGCTTAGGCGCTTTGCAGACGGCGGGGCAGAGCGGGCCGGTAAATTTCGCCGCGAACGATAGCACAAAGTGAATCCTATACTACAAACGCACAGAGAGGGCAAAAAGACCGCGCCGCAGGTGCCCAGCGGGAACTGGCGGCGCGGCATGTCCGCGGCTGCCCGCCGTGGATCATACAAACCAGTTTATATGCAGTAACGCAGACGGCGGCGCGGGGCGGCGCTGTCCGCGCCACGCGCTTTTTAGTGATGGACTATTCACTAGAACGAACGTTCTGAACTGACTGCCTCTGCCCGTCGTGTGCTTTGTGTACGCGGCGAGGGCAGCCACAGACATCGACGGACAGACGCGATTTTTATTGCTTCGCGGACAAAAAGCCCGCCCCACCCCGTCGTCTGCAAAGCGCCTTAACATCCAGAAAATATAAGGGCATCTTGTTTCTTCCTTGAAGAGCACGATGGCGCCAGTGGTTTAGCGTCATTGGTCGTGAAAGTTAAGCATCTTTAGCAACGGCCAGTCATCAGATGAGTGGCTCAAAATTTTATTATCTTGAGCTCCTCCGTTCTTCGGAAGGCACGTTAAGCCGTTGGTCCGGCTTCCGGTGAAGATGCTGTCGTTAACACATCAATCCGCACTGGAGCCCTGTGGTGGCTCAATCTCCCTATTCCATCAATACCTTGGGAAGGTCTGTCCTGGTTGGTGACCCGTCGAAACATTTGGTTTTAATTTCTGTTGTGGGTGCCCCTCTCTTGTGGGCCCTAGGCCATTGCCCAATCAAAGATTTAAGAAAATAACCTATTATTTTGTTTGATTCTTCGTCTGTCAGGCAGATTATCAAAAAGTATTGGACACGTATTTTTCTTTATTCACATAATCAAAGCATTATAGAGATAGGTACATTGATTAAAAAAATGCATGACGTCACATAATAGTACATTTTTTACTTAGAAATGACGTCACGACCCCCTAATTCCAAACTTTGACGCGCTTATCAGTGTCCATTATTTTTTGACAATTGAACTGATAGACTCATGGTAATTCAATTTCTTAATAAGGATCTTTCTGTTAGTTACTTAAGATTATATTATCCCAATTAACTTTTCTTCTACATCCTAAAAAGTTTGTAATAATTATATTCTAGCAGACCAGAAGTAGATTCCTCGTTTGGAAGCATCCAGAGCTTCAAAACCGCAATGGAGCGAGTTGAGTCAGCCCCTCTGCTGGGCGCGGCTACTCCACTCACCTATAAGTCTTTACACAATGGCGATTCCATGGTGAGTTGCTTTTTTCCTTTTTTTTTTGTTGACGGTGGAAAATGCATTTACGCACCATACCGCGCGCTTGCCAGGCACACGACGTGTGTGGGACTCCCCGGCGCGGAACAACGCCGGTGTTACCCACTAAAAACCACCGGTACCCTCCTCGGCTCGTATGAGGGCGTTCTGGGATCGGTGCACCTACGTGCGCCACTACACCAGAGCGTCCTCGGGGAGTTGCTTTTTTCATAGTGGGTTTACTAACATATAAAAATAACTTACAGGAGATTCAGCCAATCTCAGTGTTTTGCGCATAATTATAACATTTAGTTTATGGTTTTAGTTACAGTTAGGTCACTTCCTCCTCACACAAATTGTTGTTATTCACAAAACATATATTGTTTTAATATACGTACAATGTATGTAAAATAAGTGTTAAATTATGTATTTAATAATAATATTTTGTTCACCACACATTACTTGGCGGGAAACTGTGAAATTGTGAGATGATAAATGGGGAACAACAAACCGCAAAACCTTTTCAAAAGGAGATTCACGTAGTGCATTTGGTAGATAGATTTGTTTATATAGGTTCGACGAAAGACTTAAACCACCTGATGTTAAAACACGGCGGAGTCCCGTGACCCTAGAGTCTCTAATACCCGTGTATTAAATGAAGATAGGTACCTATATATTATTGAGGAGCTCGACGGCACAGGTGGCTAGCGCGTTCTGTTGCAATCGTTGTAGTTAAGCAACTTTCGCAGTAGTCGGTCATTGGATGGGTGACCAAAAATCTTCTATATCTCGAGTTCCGTGCTTCGGAAGGCACGTTAAGTCGTGGGTAATGGCCCAATCTCCCTATTCCATCCATTAAGAAGGCCTGCGCCCCAGCAGTGAGGGCATTAATAGGCTGATGATGAGGTACCTATAAATCTTATTAAAATACTTAACGAACGGTTGTTAAGCGTGATTTAATAACTTACAACATATTAAGAACAACAGTATTCCTGACGTATCGGGTCAAAGATCAAGATTAGTATAGAGTGTCACATCCTGTAATGTCTATCCTCAAAGTCTTCATACTATATTCACCCTTTTATCTGGTAACAAATGATAAGTGTTATTACTTCTCCATCCATTCATATGACGCTATTGTGACGTAAAAGTATCGAGATCGCTTGACAACACAATAAGTTATCTAAACGTGAGGTAACTACGATATGACGATTATTTTTAGTATTTTTAGGGATCCGATGCAGAGAAGTTCCGATGTTTAAAAACTGAATTATAAGACCGCAAATCATGTATAAAATGCAATACAGTAGATCCGTGGTAATCCGGACCCCATCTTGTCCGGCGCCTCCTGTAATCCGACACGCTTCTGTTGTATTGCACATAAAATCAATTGAATAGATTTGTAATTTGTCGGATTGTCTTAGACGGTACTCCGTAATCCGACATCGCCTTGTAAAACGTTTGTTGGATTGCCGCGGGTCTACTGTATACAACAATGAAAAATTAACGCCATCGCTCGATAAATGTTTAAGTAGTATGGCGGTAGTCCGTACTACCGCCAATGCCCATAATTAAGAGGGGAGGCGGGTAATGTTTTTTCCATACAAACGCTTGATTTTTATCAGTAAAGAAATGATTTTCATACATTAAATATCAATTTACTCATTCTATGATCCTATGTCTTCCTTTTGTTTTATTTTACTTTTGTTATTCAAAGAAACTAGAAGCCCACAAAAATACCAAAATAAACTATTTTTGATCACCACTAAAAATGCCTAGTGTGGATTCAATAAGCATTTACAAAAAATGGTGTAATTAATCTAAACATGATTTTCAATTATCTAGACAATGACACCCCACTCGACATATTTCGGCAACTTATTTTTTCTTTCGCACAATATGGCGCCCAGTTGTCCCCATATTGATTTTCGATTATTATCATATCATTAGTAGCACTCACATGATTAAGACGAATTGACTGATGTATAAATCTTCAAAATCGGTCTACGCGTTTGTTCTCTAGTGTGCCTCAAAGAAACATACATACATAAATAGACAGTTAAACACTACTGTCTACGCGTCGCGCTTCGCGCTCTTGCATTGCGCAGTCGGGTAAAAAGCGAAACATAGAGGCCTAGTGGAACTACTTATTATTCTATAGGTAAAATTTCTTTGAGATATAGGTATCTAATTTTCGAGGAGGGACATCTCGAATTTTGCAATTTTTATACGCAATTTTCAGCGTTAGCTACTGTTGTCCCTATCTCACGGTATTTCCCAAAATGTGACAGCAATAGTTTTTCAAATACCTATTTCTCAAATGTCTCTCAACTCGCGTCCGCTCTTAAGTCAGGTCCTGAAATCATGGTCATATTTCACTTAGGGGCAAGACGGCCATGGCCCGGGGCGGCAGGCTGCTTGAATTACTCCAGATTTTGAAATACGTACATCCCAGCCAGAAATTATATCTATTTGCGCCTTAAAATGGACAACTACTGAACCCTACAATGCGCGTAGCCTAACACGCACTTGGCTGGTTTTTGGATGATCATATCGTCAATATATCGATAATCTATATCAACATAATAGGTTTGTAGGTACTAGCTAGCACCCGTGACTTTGTCTCTACACACAAAAAATATGATTACGTCCATTTCTAAGGTCATCAACCTTCATCTCTATCAACATTAATTAAGTCATTTCTAATTTTCTTAGGTCATCAACCTTCCTTATCTTTATCAATATTAATTAAGTTTATGCATTTTACGTACCGACTTCTTCAAAAGTCAAGAGGTGAACTCGTAATACAATCTCTATTCGTCCTGGGAGTTTCATTCTCGGTTTTGTTGACAAAAACTTTTCTTTCCGATTTTTGTGCTAGTTCGACAACTGCGCCTAAAGCTGCGTATTCATTAGGCAACATTTGTTTTTAAACTGTTTATGAAGTCACAACACGCAGGTCACCGGAGGATCCAAAAAGAACCGATATTTTACTAAGTAATTTATTAATATAAGAATTACAATTTATAATGCATTTGTCAAACTGTGCGATGCAAGAATCAGATTGACAAAAATTCGACCTCCTATCAAGAACATGGTGCCCATTGGACTCTCATAATTGGTACTTACTAACATGATAGTACCCATTCGACCTCCTATCAAGAACATGGTGCCCATTGGACTCTCATAATTGGTACTTACTAACATGATAGTACCCATTCGACCTCCTATCAAGCACATGGTGCCCATTGGACTCTCATAATTGGTACTTACTAACATGATAGTACCCATTCGACCTCCTATCAAGAACATGGTGCCCATTGGACTCTCATAATTGGTACTTACTAACATGATAGTACCCATTCGACCTCCTATCAAGAACATGGTGCCCATTGGACTCTCATAATTGGTACTTACTAACATGATAGTACCCATTCGACCTCCTATCAAGAACATGGTGCCCATTGGACTCTCATAATTGGTACTTACTAACATGATAGTACCCATTCGACCTCCTATCAAGAACATGGTGCCCATTGGACTCTCATAATTGGTACTTACTAACATGATAGTACCCATTCGACCTCCTATCAAGAACATGGTGCCCATTGGACTCTCATAATTGGTACTTACTAACATGATAGTACCCATTCGACCTCCTATCAAGAACATGGTGCCCATTGGACTCTCATAATTGGTACTTACTAACATGATAGTACCCATTCGACCTCCTATCAAGCACATGGTGCCCATTGAACCCTCAAAGACGGACTTACCTACACAATAGGAGCTCTTAACTATTTGGTAATCTAAGCTCTTAACTAATTCTTTAACGTGGATGCGGTGTGCACGTAGGCAGGGCCGGATTTAGAGGTCCAGGGGCCTCGGGGCAACATAGGAGCGGAGGCCCCCTCACCCCAAATTATTTTCCAAATAAAGTAAAAAATTTTTTTCAGTCGAGTTTTTCAATAAATAATTTATTGTGAACCAAGTAGATTCCCTTAGTATTGAACAAACACATATAAATATAAACGGAAACAAGAATTATCTGAAATTAAATCTTAGAGTTAACGAACGGAACCGAAAAGATGTTTACTAGTTGGAATTTGAAAGATTTTTTTTTTTATTTAGATTTTTTTTTCCGAAGTCTCTATTGTGGGGGCCCCCCGTTTGTGGAGGCCCCGGGGCTTTCGCCCCGGTTGCCCTCCCCTAAATCCGGCAGTGCACGTAGGCGCCATAGAGGTCACATTGCCATGCGGGCCGCTTCATGTGCAGCGATTTTCTATGAGTCCGATATTATAACAAAGTTCATCATCCTGTTTCTTATAATATTGTAACTATTTGGCGCAGTTGTTAAAACAAGTTTACCATAAACACTACTTGCCTGCTGAAACTTAGCCGTCCACATTTGTCAGTTGTTGCTAGGATGTCATCCGAGGAGGTAGTGTTGCTCTGTGCTGCTTATTACTTAGTAATTCATGTGAGTCCGAATACATAACCAAAAAAACTGTATGAGCATTAAAACTTGGTCATCGGACTACACTTCTACCATAAACCTCCCCGCAACAACCGTCCAAACCTGTCAAATAAGATTAATGTTTCGTCTTGCTCTCCACTCAGAGTGGGGAACACGGCAACATGCATCTGAAACAATGCTTCATCGCCTTTGTTTATAAACTGTTTTTAAACTGTATACAAAAATTATGCAACATTATAAAACACTGTTTACTAAACAAATGTTTCCCAATGAATACGCGGCTATAGGAATACGACTTAAGGTCGTAGCAGACATATCAACTCGGGACACGAGGTTGTCCGAGGCGATGTTACGATTCCGACTTGTGTGCCTTACAGTAAGGAGTTTCATGCAAAAAATACTGAACAGCTCGATTTGATACAGTGGCAATCCCTTTTCCAGTTGATATATCTGTCTACCTTTAAAATATGGCATTAAGTAACATAAGCTATGTAATTCTAATGTTACTTAATCACAGGACCCAGGAGACACCCCGGAGAGGCCAATAATCACCTCGTACAAACTCTTCGAAAAGTCAACCAAGCCTGAAAGGAAAAAACAAAGTTCATTAGTCACTATGTAAGTACACCTTACCGTAGAAAAAAGATTTTTTAATTTTATGAAAGTTAAAAACCAAATAAAATGTTGGGATTGTACGCAACAGTCTTGAATGATAATCAGTCTATTTATGTCACCGATGATGGACCCATTGCTATGACTTTTGATGTTCCATTTTGAGGATTGTCCATTAAACATTGAACACATGATGTTTTCTTATTGTTTATTTGGTGATATGTGGTGATTTTCTAGACTACCACCTCCCCTTATACCCAAAGCATCGTGATAAAAATGACCATCACCAGACAGCCATTAAAATTACAGTTATTTTTTGACTGGCGTCAAAATAATAAAGGAAAGTGTAAAATACATTAAATTTTTTACACCTCCGCCACCGAGAAGGCCAGAGCAGTCAATTTAATGAATTTAGATATTCTTTTAAACACGCACGGCACCAACATTTATGTCGTAACAGGGCTAACTACACTGAATTAAGTCTGAATTTTAAGTTGTCTATCAAAACTTTAAAGGCAGATTTACGCTATCCGTAAATGGAATGCTCTACCTGCTCACGTGTTCCCTCCTTCTAGCAACCTGGGATCCTTTAAAAGAGACGTGAAGAAGCAATATGCAGGCTGGCAAGGTGAGGATGGCTGGTGTGGCAGGTAGAACTGCTGTACCAGCTATCTTCACGTCTGGACTTCACCGTCAATTAACATTAGATGGGGTGGAGTCATTTGTCGGACCTATCTATAAAAATAAACGCCGAGGCAACATCATTGACATTATGTCATGCTACATATTTTGGCGTGGTTCATTTGGGGTAATGCTGCAAATAGAAAAAATCTGCTTCAGCAGCCTATTTAACGTCCATGGAAACATAGTGCTGTGAAATATGAAACTATTGGTGTGGCATGCCGCACAATGTTGCCCCGGCGTAAATCAGCATTAATGGAATGGTTTTTAGTTTCTCAGTATGGAACACCATAATGGGATCATCTCTTCTGACCATGGCGTGGGGTGTGGAGCGCGCTGGTCTGCCGATTGCGCTGCTGTTAGTGGCGGTGATGGCAGCCCTATGTCTTTACACAGCTTACCTGCTACTACGAGTGAATGCACATCACGGTCAGTATTTAAGGAACATTGTTAGCGAACGTGTACGGAAAACGTGTATGCCATACCCCCAACCCACCCCCCTCTAGACCGACTTAGATTAAGTATAAGTAGCGGCAAACTTCTTAAGCCAAACCCCAGGAAAATAAACTTGCTCAATAGACGATTTTATGCAGCGTAGAATTGGTACAGCGCATCAGGCTTCGTTGTCTGTACCAGGGTGCCACGACACGAACACGCGCGCAGTCTCCGGTCGCCCGACACGTATTTTGCATGTCCCCAGAATGCATGTCGGGCGATCGGTGCAGGAGTATTGTCTGCGTTTTAGTAGATAAAGTCCTGTTCATTTCACTGAGCCTTCGAGCTGGGTGAAATGAGCTAAGAGGACACCTCCACAATTCAGGGGTGCCCCCCCCCCCCCTCACAAGGGAGGTCACCGGGGAAATGACGACTCCCAAATTCCCACACGTCAAATTGAACAATCTTCTAGCTATTTACAAAATAAAAGAAAGAAACGACTACCTCCGTGGCCGAGTGGATTGTACGCCGGGTTTCAAGGTGTCGCCGACTCGAGAGGTCCCGGGTTCGAGTCCCGGTGGGGGCAGATGTTTGTGTGATGAATACGAGTATTTGTACTCCAGTCATGGATGTTTAATATATCTTTATATATATAATTCTTCTGTGAGTGTGTATGTCACTGAACTTCTCTTAAACGACTGGACCGATTTTGATGAAATTTTTTGTGTGTGTTCAAGGGGATCTGAGAATGGTTTAGATTCACAATTTTGTCCGCTGAACAACCCCTATTTTTTTAGGGCGGTACGAAGTTCGCTGGGTCAGCTAGTATTTCTATATAAATATACTTATATATGTACTGTATATGTATTCTATCCGTTACCCTAGTATCCCATAACACAAGACTTACAGTGCTTACTTTGGGGCTAGGCTAATTGGTGTGAGTGTTGGTAAAAATTAAAATTAATAAAAAAATTAAAAAAGGAAAGAAAATTTCTGCCTCTAGCCGAGACGCATTATCGCTTACGTCGATGGTCTCTTCCCAATTATGAATATAAACTTTCCTGAAAATTCTGGCAACTATTCCTATCAACGCAACGATGCGACATCAGAAAGATAATTTTCTTACTCATGGCGAAAAAGAAATCACGCCGTTCCCAGACATTTTAAAAAGTCCCGTTGTTCAACAAATTTGTTTTTAACTATACTCAAGTGCTAGATTGATTCCACACAGGCAGTGATACGTGCGAGGTGCCCGCGCTGTGCCGTTCGCTGCTGGGCCGCTGGGCGGAGCTGGTGGCGCACACCTTCAGCCTGCTAGTGCTGCTGGGCGCCAACGTGGTCTACTGGATCCTCATCACCAACTTCCTGTACTTTACCGTCAACTACTTCATGGGTAGCGTGGCTTTTTGATACTTTAATCATCTATTACTGCCCTAAACCCCTTGCACATTTTTGTGGGTAGTAGTCACGCGTTCAGTCTGTGTGCTGCTGGGCGCCAACGTGGTCTACTGGATCCTCATCACCGACTTCCTGTACTTTACCCTCAACTACTAAATGGGTAGCATAGGTTTTTGGTACTATAGTAAATAATAAAATAATAAATAAATATTTCCAACACTCACACCAATTAGCCTAGCCCCAAAGTAAGCACTGTAAGGCTTGTGTTATGGGATGCTAGGGTAACGGATAGAATACATATACTGTACATATATAAGTATATTTATATAGAAATACATATTAAACATCCATGACTGGAGTACAAATGCTCGTATTCATCACAAACATCTGCCCCCACCGGGATGCGAACCCGGGACGGGACCTCTTGAGTCGGCGACACCATGAAACCCGGCGTACAAACCACTCGGCCACGGAGGTCGTCTATTATTCTATTCTATCTATAGTAATCTATTACTGCCCAACCCCTTGCAGATGTTTGTGGGCAGTAAGCACGTGTTCAGTCTGCTTGTGCTGCTGGATGCCAATGTGGTCTACTGGATCCTCATTACCAACTTCCTGTGCCTTACCGTCATCTACTTCATGGGTAGCGTAGGTTTTTGATACTATAATAATCTATTACTGCCCAACCCCTTGCACATTTTAGTGGCCAGTAGGCACATCTTCAGCCTGCTGGTGCTGCTGGGCTCCAAAGTGGTCTACTGGATCCTCGTCACCAACTTCATGTACTTCACCGTAAGCTATTTCATAGGTGAAGTGATGTGATGGGTGGCTTTGGATGATTTTAAACAAACATTACAAAGAAAGCTGACAACCACCGTGCTATTTACTTATACACTACCTACGGCTTTATTATAACGTCACTAAGATACTTGTCCTGAAAAGCATTGATGGATATGCAATTTGCTATTTAGTGACACACTGTAAATTGTAAGCAAAAATATATAACACCAGCAGCTTCTGTGTATTGAGAATTCTGAGACACTGACCATCGCCATTGACGATTTGTCAATCCCGTAACAGTCATGTCACGAATCTATATACAGGTCGACCAATAATTTATTCCGGGCATCGTACTCCCCAACCACGACACCTGCAAGACTAATTTCTCAAAACTACTTTTTAACTGAACTGTTTTCCATCCAGATTTTAACTCTTCGAACAGGACAGTGTACAACACGACCATTTTCCGTCCCCCTATAGATGGACTGACGTTTGAGACTTTGGCAATCCCTTAACAGTCATGTCATGAATCTATACACAGATCGATCAATTATTATTTATTCAGGGCATTGTGCTTCTTAATGCTCGACACCTGCAGACCGTGAAACCTTATTTATCAAAGAATTGTCCCTTCCAGATTTGAACTCTTCGAATGGAACTGTGTACAACACGACCGTCCTCTGCCCCTCCAAGGACGGACTGAATGGATCGCTCATCATCCCGGTGGACGTACACCCCTCCCCATACTGGGGTCTACATTCCACCGTACCGGTGTACGTCGCGCTCATAGTGTTCCCGCTGCTCAATTTTAGGAACGTCTCCTTCTTCACCAAGTTCAACTCTTTGGGTGAGTCAGCAGTTTTTAAATAAGATTGGAAAGTGTTTTTTTATGTTTCTGCTTGGGGTCCGCTTAAGCAGTATTTGCGGGCTATTTAAAACTTTACGGCTCTAAAGATAGGTCATTTCGCCAAGTTAATCTATGGTTAAACTTCTTTATACAAAAGTAGGCTCTAACTTTCACAAAAAACGGCTTATAGTCCCGTGGGTAGCGCGCCCTGATCGGGGCGTGCGGTGTTTGACCGTGCGATGTATTTTTCGAGCGCGCCCCGATCGGGGCGTGTGGTCTTATTTAGCATTTAACTGCTAGATGTTAAATCTAAAGAAAAATTTACTTGAAAAAAATCCACACGGACCAGGCAGCAGACGGGACTCGAACCCGCACTCTCCGCTATATTATTGGTATCGCCGTATTGGTTAATAACCGTATCGTGGCATCCCTAAAATTACATTTTGTTTTCATATTTGACTGCGTTCCTACCCAAGTAATGCTTGCTTTTTAAAGAATTAGATGCTTAATTACCGCTAATAGTTTAGAACTTGAAAATGTGGGTACTATGAATTAGCAACCTTCATTAGGTAGATTTCTGATATGACTTGTCGTAAACTCGAATAAATCATGACTGCAATCTTCTCCGTTAAGTTTACCGGCCTTCCCGCACACTTCCGGCACGGGACCTTACAAAACGTCGTGAATTTTGAAATGAAACAGAGGCCCAAGCTCGCACTTTGGCAGATCCGTAATCGTATCGTTATCGTCAAATTTTGTATGGAATAAGCTAGTCTGCTCTTACGCTGACGTAAGACAGCTTAGTTTTCATAGAAATTTTGAGGATGCGATACGCTCATGGAGCCGTCAAAGTTCGTGCCTGGGCCTTAGGACGTCAAATGTGTACTGATTTTTAGTTCTCGTTACGTACATTGTGGCGCTGCTATTCAAGTTTCCATACAAAATTTGACAATGACATTTTGGACTCGAATCGAATTCGATAATGGTTCATGCTAGGGGTACAGTACCCTTAGCATGAACCAATATCCAATTCGTAAACAAGGGCGGATCCAGGGGGTGTGTCATGGGAGTCATGACCCCCCCCCTGGGCTGGGTCCATCTGTACCCACTTGACAATCTGTACTTGTCAATCTGTACCCACTGTAACTTGACCACGACTATATGACCCCCCCCCCCCTGGCGCCAAAGCTGGATCCGCGGGGTCCTGCTAAGGGTTGTTCGTGCTAAGGGTACAGCTCTCCCGCCTCCGCTGTGGGTGCGAGAAAACTCTCGCTCCAGTTCTCAGCAACCAGAGTGACGTACTATCTCGGCCCCCAGGCACGCTGTCGGCAGTATACCTAGTCGCGTTCGTGGTAGTGAAGGGCGCGGCGTGGGGCCCGCACTGGGAGGGCGCGGGGTCGGACGCGGGCGCGGGGGGCGGGGCGGGCGCGCTGGCCGGCATGCTGGCGCTCTCCTTCTACATACACAACATCATCATCACCATTATGGGCAACAACGCGAGGCAGGACAGGAATGTGAGTATCCCCCCTCTAGACACGCTGTCAGCAGATTAAATGGGTAACAACTCGCAGCTGGACAGGAATGTGAGTATCCCCCCTCTAGACACTCTGTCAGCAGATTAAATGGATAACAACTCGCAGCTGGACAGGAATGTGTGTATACCCCCTCTAGACACGCTGTCAACAGATTAAATGGGTAACAACGCGCAGCTGGACAGGAATGTGAGTATACCCCCTCTAGACACGCTGTCAACAGATTAAATGAGTAACGGCGCGCAGCTGGACAGGAATGTGAGTTTCCTGCTCTAGACACGCTGTCAGCAGATTAAATGGATAACAACGCGCAGCTGGACAGGAATGTGTGTATACCCCCTCTAGACACGCTGTCAACAGATAAAATGGGTAACAACGCGCAGCTGGACAGGAATGTGAATATCCCCCCTGTAGACACGCTGTCAGCCGTATTCCTGTTATCGTTCGTGGTAGTAAAAGGTGGCGTCCGCCTGCACTAGGAGGGCACGGGAAAATGGAGTATTTAGTGTTCTGAAGCCGACAAGCCTGAATTCAGCGTGACTACAGTGTGAAGTAGCACATGAATGAACACCGACGCACGTACGCAAAGAAACGTTCCTATTGCCGCCATTGCTAACTTACACATGCACACTTCATGGAGCTTTGGACATAGTGTTTCTTATAATTTGATATTAAATGGGTATTACTCATTTTTCATGACAGTAATATTGTACCTATCTAATGCCGCTTCCTATATACTACTTAAAATGTTAACTATAAAATTAATTGTAACTACATATTTATATTCTAGATGATGTAATGGAAAGTGACTTCAGACGTATTTCTGAAGTAATTTTTCAACTTGACGACACTGTATATAACAATACAGGGAGAAAAAAACAGCCCTTGCTGAGTTTCTTGCCGGTTCTTCTCAGTACAAGGTCTCCCGCCGTAGTTTTGCGAACCGATGGCGTAGCTTCTTGACCTTCACAAGTGCTTGTAACAGCCTAGACTGAATAAATGACATTTCATTTCATTTCATTTCTTTGCCTCTGTTAAATATTTACGCGCTCGCCGGCATGCTGGCGCTCTCCTTCTACATACACAACATCATCATCACCATTATGGGCAACAACGCAAGGCAGGACAGGAATGTGAGTATTCTCCCTCTAGGCACGCTGTCAGCCGTATAGGTACCTGATATCGTTCGTGGTAATAAAAGGTTGCGTCCGCCTACACTACTGGGCACGGGAAACTAGGGTATTCAGTGTGCTGAAGCCGACAAGTCTGAATTCAGCGTGACGAAGATGTAGTGGTCAATCATTGGATGGGTGACCCAAAATCTTCTATCTCGAGTTCATCCATGCTTCGGAAGGCACGTTAGCCGTTGGTCCTGGCTGCATCTGCAGTGGTTAGCACCCGCCAATCCCCACTGGGCCCGCATGGTGGGTCATGGCCAAATCTCCTTATTCCATCCATAGGGAAAGTATGTGCCCCAGCAGTGGGAATATTATTATCCGACAAGGCATGCTGTCGACGGTGCACCTGGTCTGGTGGTGGTAAAGGTATTTAGGTAATAGCCGGTATTCCTTATTAGCATTCCTGATAGTGAAGGGCTCGGCACGGGGCCTGCACCAACAGGAAAGTTCGTATTACCCTTCTAGGTACCTTGTCTCCTTGCCAAAGAACATAATATGTTCGCTGCCTGGTCCGCGTGGATTTTTTTCTAGTAAACTTTTCTTTAGATTTAAACATGTAGCAGTTAAATGCTTAAAAAATAAATAAAAAATAACTACAATTGCTATTTCTTCTTTCAAATGTTTAATACTTGAAAAAGTATTCATTTGACATTGTGGGTTACCTACAATGCGAAGAGATGGCGCTGCCTTGCAGCTTAAGGCTAGGAAAATTTCGACGCGGCGAATAGGGCCGTGGTAGCATAATGGTCAGTGTATTCGCCCGGATTGCGAAGGGTGCGGGTTCGAGTCCCGTCCGCTGCCTGGTCCGCGTGGATTTTTTTCTAGTAAACTTTTCTTTAGATTTAAACATCTAGCAGTTAAATGCTTAAAAAATAACATAATATGTTGCTCTTACATTGTTTGAGTCAGCTAACCAAATTTTTCTTCTTCACCAGGGACGAGATTTGACAATAGCCTTTGTGTTGGTGACTCTGACTTACGTGCTAGTGGGAGCTGGGTTCTACATCTGCTTCCCTCTTGCCAAGTCCTGTATTGAAGATGTAAGTTACACCTTATCTCCATTATTAAGAGTATTATACTTACGGTCCCAATTATTAAACGCTTGTTATAACAATGGCTTGTTGTCCTATTCTATTGCCATCGCTAAGATAGAGAGAGCGTCAACATCAAATTTAAAAAAATATTGTGTCCCTGAGAGCGGCGGTGAAGCATTTAAGTGTATCAATGTCTCAATTCAATTAGTTTGCACTTTTTCCAGAATATATTGAACAATTTCGAAATGCACGACGTGATGACGGCAGTTGCAAGAATACTTTTATTATTTCAAGTGAGTATTAGTATTATTTCTGAATATTTATGCTTCTTATTGTATCTAACTACTACATACTGTTATCGTAGGTATCGCATATTAACTGATTTTTCATACAAACTTTCATCTCTTTTTACACGTTCTTTTCCGATGCCCTTCAATCAAATCATTTATTTGTTGTCATCGGTAACAATAGGTTTTTAAATTTTATATAAATGTACCTCCATGACATGCTCAACAGCATATGAAAATTTGTTATTATTACATTTTAAATTCAATAAAATCATAAAAGAATCAATACATTAATCTATAAAACTATATATCAGTATCCGTTAGGCCTCCTTATTAGGCCAATATTCATTAAAATCGTTTTAGAGATTTGAGTGTGAAATAGAGTTACTTTTACATTCGGACTATACTACCACTCATTCGGTTTAAAGCTTTCTAAAAGTACAATATCCGATCATAAAGTCTTCCTTCACCATCAAGTTTTTTAATAATATAATGACAATCATACAGGTGATAACAGTATACCCCCTTGTGGCATTCATGCTGCGATCTGAGGCGATACTGTTACTGGACGCGGGCTCCTCTCGCAGCGTCACCGTCTGCATCAACCTGGTCATCATCACCGTGTGCATACTGGTCGCCTGCTTCTGTCCCAGCATAGGGACCATCATAAGGTAATTGTGCAAGATTACACATACTTTTCTGTAAATGCTCTCTTTATTTCTTTCACATTTTATCTTTTTTTTGGATTCCGTACTTCAAAAGAAAAAAACGTAACCTTTATAGGATCACTTTGTTGTCCGTCCGTCCGTCGGCAAATTTTCGAAACTCGCACGGGAATCAAAACCTACAGGGTACTTCCCGTGAACTTAGAATCTGGAAAGGTACGAAGTAACGTCTTATAGTACAGATAAAGGAAAAATTGCGAAAACCGTAAATTTTTAGTTACATCTTATAATAAAAAATTAGTTACTATCAACAAGCAGCGCGTCATTGTCGCTCCCATTAAGCATATAATATACGTTCAACAGTAATGTTTAAGGTAGACCAGAGTTACATGAAGTGTTACCTCTAGGATTAGTAGGTGTATACCCTAAAGTCAGTTTCAAACGTTTTGGGAGCAAATGTAAACCAGAATTACCTTACTTACACCCGAGATATTGAAATTCAAGGAATATGATCATTTAGTTGAACTAATAATTTTGGTTGATAATTACCCTACAGATAAGTCTCATACTTACCCGTACTTTATTATAAAGTATTGTACGTTATTTCGGGTAATTGTACTCTATACTTTATGAAAATACTTTATTTAATGTGATTTGATTACTCGCGGATTAATTTTACATAAAATGAGGTTGATAGGAAAAATTTTTGCGTAAAACGGACAGAAAGTATGAATATAGCTTTTAGCCCTTAGCTAATTCCTGCAACATTTTCGTGGCTGTATGCCTTTGTATCATGACCTTTTCCATTGCGGAAACAATCTACAGTAGCCGCAAATTATTTATTAAAAGTTGCTAGTAGCAACGTAAAATATATTTTTAAGTTTACTTATAAAATGGAATAAAAAGTACTTTATTTTGGACACAATATCCTTTTTTTTTTACCTTAAATATGTACTTTATTTCGACAAAAAAAAGAAAGCAATCCTACTTACCTGCCTACCTCTTTGTTTAACTGTGCTCTCACCATATTTGTGTATTGCATTTTGAACCTTATCCCCAGATACACAGGAGCGGTGAGCGGGTTAGTGCACGTATTCGCACTGCCATCTCTACTGCAGATGCGGTCGTTACAGCTGCGCGGGCGCCTCACGTGGCTACAGGCTGTATTCCACGCGCTTATAGTCGTGTTTGGTGCTGTCAATTTAGTGATGCAATTCTTTATAAAAGAATAAGAATAGTACTCTAGAATCTGATATATAAACTGTTGGCACTGCCATTAATATTGCAAATGCGGTCGTTACAGCTGCGCGGGAGACTCACCTGGCTACAGGCTGTATTCCGAACGCTTAAAGTCGTGTTTGGTGCTGTCAATTTAGTGATGCAATTCTTTATAAAAGAATAAGAATAGTACTCTAGAATCTGATATGTAAACGTGTTCACACTGCCATTTCTATTGCAAATGCGGTCGTTACAGCTGCGCGGGCGCCTCACCTGGCTACAGGCTGTATTCCGAACGTTTAAAGTCGTGTTTGGTGCTTTCAATTTAGTGATGCAATTCTTTATAAAAGAATAAGAATAGTACTCTAGAATCTGATATGTAAACGTGTTCACACTGCCATTTCTATTGCAAATGCGGTCGTTACAGCTGCGCGGGCGCCTCACCTGGCTACAGGCTGTATTCCGAACGCTTAAAGTCGTGTTTGGTGCTTTTAATTTAGTGATGCAGTTCTTTATTGAAGAATTAGAATAGTACTCTAGAATCTGATACGCAAACGTGGCACTGCCATCTCTTCTGAAGATGCGGTAATTACAGCTGCGCGGGCGCCTCACCTGGCTACAGGCTCTATTCCACGCGCTTATAGTTGTGTTTGGTGCTGTCAATTTAGTGATGCAGTTCTTTATTGAAGAATTAGAATAGTACTCTAGAATCTGATATGTAAACGTGTACGCACTGCCATTTCTATTGCAAATGCGGTCTTTACAGCTGCGCGGGCGCCTCACGTGGCTACAGGCTGTATTCCGAAGGCATTAAAGTCGTGTTTGGTGCTGTTAATTTAGTGTTGCAGTTATTTATAGAAGAACAAGAATAGTACTCAAAAATCAGATATGTAAACGTGTTCGCACTGCTATCTCTACTGCAGTTGCAGTCGTTAAAGCGACCAACAGTGGCACTCAACAGTGGCGCCATCTAGTGAGATATAAAACGGTAGCCCTAAATAAATAAAAACAAGACATTAATATAGAGCTGTATAAAACACCGCACCGACTCCATAAACTCTATAATTATGGAAACCATTCCTAAGACATTACAAAGTTGTATATAGTATATTATAGTATATATGTATGTAGTTACGAAAAAACTATCTAGTCATACGAAAATTAAATTAAACAAAGTACCTAGATTTCAGGTAAATTTACATAATTTAAGTACGAACATCTTGCGGCCATGTTATTCATAGTTAGAGATAAAATTATCATAATCTAACAAAGCTTTGTAATTTACACATTTATTTTAATAATATAGGTTAGTTCTGATAAGATTATCTCTTACCAAAGGTAGATAGAAGCTAGAAAGAAAGCTACGGCCGTAACTAATATAAAACGTTAGATTGTAGTAAAAAGAAAAATTAACAATGATATATTTATTTAAAATAGAAGAAAAGACATACAATGTAACAGAATAATAAAAATTATAACAGAAATATGCTTTATATTTAAAATCTTAAATAACATTGCACATGTCAAATTGTTATCTCAGTGAAAAAAATTAAGTATTATTATATTTTATTATCAGCAACAATGTAACTGTATTACAGATATTAATTACTAGTTTTCATGTAAATTGTTATCGAACGTGTAATAAAATTATCTTGGAATTATATAATCTATTGTTTATTTTCCTGCAAAATGGCCACGACTTCATATCATTATTTTTCAGTTGAAATACAATTAATTAATAGGGATGATTACTATTTTTTTTCTTCGTTTATCAGGTAGATTATCAAAAAGTATTGGACACATATTTTTTCTTTTTTCACATAATATAAACATTGCAGAGATATATTGATTTGGAAAGTCGCATGACGTCACGTTTTGGTACAATTTTCACTTAAAAGTGACGTCACGAGCCCCTACTCCCAAACTTTGACGCGCTTTATCTTCGTCATTTTTTGGTTGATTGCCCAAAGAAAAAATACGTGTCCATTATTTTTTGATCATCTAACTGGCGGACTAAATAGAATTTAGTTTACTTTACCCCGTCATCAAGTCTATTAACTTAATATTTCAATAAATGCGCGTTCTCTTTCTCTTTTAGAAAATTATAAACATACAACCCAGCATGACCAAAGCAATATGTGTTACACACATATATCACGTTTTTAGACGCGAAAAAAAAACGTACATACGTATAAGTAGGTACGGGGATTGGATTATTGTTCTAAAATAAAACATGAAAAAATCTACAGTATAATTGATAACAGTTTATTTTTTTAATACAATATTCATCAGTGATAAGAATTATTTTATTAGCCACAACTTTAACACGTGTCGCGACTGTGACAGTTGATATGGATTTAAAAAAAATGGCTGTATGCTTATACACAATATTGTGGACTTAACAGAACATCAACATATCCAGACATATTACCTTCGTTTTAGGTAACACAAAGGTCGTATACAAAATATATATTTTATAATGTTTCTCTTTGGGGTAGAAAAATGAAAAAATCTGTACAATAAGAAAACACATATAAAGAAAGCTTTGGTTTAAATCATGATTTTTAGTAGTTGATTGAACTTGGTAAGTAAATGTTCTTACAAACTATCCATGAACACTTATTTGTGAATGTTGTACGAAGCCTAGGCCTGCATTCTCGTCAAAAATAGCAGTTAAAAGTCATAGATAGAAATTGATTCAGAAAGTCAAAATTAACAGCTTCAGTACATTTGTATAAAATGTGACGCAAAATAACTTTATGTAACTACTTTTTTACTTATAATCGAACAAGTTACATCGAGTCTGCAGGCCCTAGTGATGTGGCCAAACCATAGACATAGAGAATAGACTAAACACCCTAAATAAGAACAAAATCGTGGCCGAAACCTGTCCAAAAAGTACATTGGACGATCCACGGAGCTCCGTAAGGTGATCGCGTAGTCAAAAACAATATAAGGCATTATTTAAACATTCAAAGTCACCTTTAATCTATAGTATATAAGGGCTCTTAATTTCAACGCATGCGTCCCCCCGTCCCGATATAGGCCCCGAAGGCCCAAACACGCACTCGCAGTCACACACAATAAAATTACACGCGACCTCGCGGCCGTTCTGGCCGCCGAGCAGACAACACGCGCTATAGAGCCCCCCCGCCCCCCCGACACTGAGAGGCCCGCTGCCGCTCAGTCCCCCTCCGTTTCGAGTGCACGTCTGAGTGCACCCGTCCATTAGCGCATTATGCGTTATTTTAAACTATGTAATAGTTTAAACTAGCGCAGCGCTGCATTATCCCCCTCTCAGGGGATAATCGCTTCAGATGAAGCTTGTAAGGCCCTTCAGGCCATAAGCATGATCTACGGGTGTGTTTTAGTCAGTAAGAGTCTGACATAACCGGCTGTAAGGTATCCATGAGGATTTCACACCCGCTCCCCCGCCTGGGAGGAATCAAAAAAAAAAAAAAAAAACAACGCATGCGTCAAAGAGTTATGACAGTTCTAAATGCAAGCTCATAAAATTTTACGACTTGTTGGTACAGGCGGAGGAATATAGACTTTATTTCTTTGACTCTACGCGTAATTCTGAATGCGGTGTTAGCAATATTGCATAAGAAACGGCTATATAATCGACCATGCATTTGAATATCACAACTATTTTCTAGTTTATAGTAATTATTAAAACAAAATTTGCTTTAAATGCGTTAAATTAACAAACGTTGATTCGATACCTATCGAAAAAACGACACTAATAAGTACATTATGTCAGTATAATTTTCGATTTTTTCAAAGAGCTCTGAAGTATCGTGACTTTTGAACGGTTTGCGAGTGACTGTGAACCAAGAAGTGCTTGAGTGATGTTTAAGCACTTCTTGATTCGGACACATTATTAGCGCATGTGGTGTCTCTAGGGTTTTTAATATAGTTGATTTCCTGTCCAAATGTAAAGTAAGACAGAGATAAGTCTCAAAGAGAAAGCGATATGCCGATAGGTAAGTAAATTATCGATTAAATGCGAGGATCATTTAGTCCACTCTCTATGGCTATGAGCTAAATTTAGAAGAGTCACAAAAATATTCCTTTATTCTTTTTCAGTAGTGATTGAAATATTTCCAAAGGCATGAGCTACCAAGTACATACATCCTAGTCGTCAACATTTTTCATAAGAATGCTGGAGTTACGCATTCTTAATTTTTATCTTGAGATTTTGACGCCAAATATATCGAGCCAGTCTTCACTTCGCTTAGATAATTATAGTAAGTACTACAATAATTTCATTTTCGCCTAAAAAATGGCACATCTATTACAAATGCCTCACTGATTGTGCAAATGCGTAGACACTTGCGTTGCAAAACTGAGTGATTGATTTTTATAAGACTTTAATATTTAAATACATTAATCCAAATAAAACTTTACTATACTATTACTCAATGAACCTGTTTTTTATTCCATAATATGCGCGTTCTCATTGCTTGTGAGTTAAATACACAAATTTTGCGTTACCCTTAAAACTATAAAGTTATCCTATAGACTCGATGCAATGGCGCCAAACCCCCATTTAAATTACAATTTCCAAGTCATATTTATGTAATAACGGTGGGAGCTTCGCGTCCCGTATATTTCTGCAGCTGCGATATTTGTAAAGCCACTTCTATCAATGGTCTCAACATCACTTGTGCGTCGCCCAGTACGTCTGTAGCTTCGTAAGAGTCTATGTATAACCTGTTTGAAAAGTAAGCCGCGTAAGTAATAGTTATTGATGATATAAGTGCGGTAATTTGGTTATTACAAATGCGTAGACGAATGTAAGCCCGAGACGAAGGCGATGGTTTACCATAATCACGAGTTTCTAAATACCAATTGCGCAAGAATGTCATTATAACAATTTTGCAACACGTTTGCGAGAAAACAGTATTTAACTAAAGTAAGGAATTGAACTTTTTCTTAGAAGAAAATGGCGCGCATTTCCAAATGGCGACACGAAAATTAGAAGTACATCTTTCGCCTCTTTTTCCTCTTTCGGTTTGTCCGAAGTTGCGCCTTGTATGGGAGCGTGGGGCAAAATGTTTTATAACACATTTGCTCGTAAAGCGTCTCTTATTGCACCAATTTCAATATCATAATCTATCACATTACACACGCGTGCGGTAATGTAAACTAAAACGCCCGGCTTATTATGTTCCGTCTAAAAACGAACGATACTTTTTTAAATCTTAGCAAAGAGTTTTTATGTCAGAAAGGTAGCCAACATTTTATTAATAAAATTAAGTTTGGAAGATAAAATATAATAGTTAAACATTTAATTCCTTAATTTGATTCATTTTGACAATAAATTACAACCATGTATCGGTAACAAATTCACAAAAACATTAATTTACGTTATTTAGTAACACTGGCTGTTTTTCGTTCCTTTGCTTAAAAAAAGCGTTGATGCGCGCGCATCGCTAATCTGTGAAAAAGTTATTACTTTTTCTTTTCGCTGTATTGTTTTTATTTGAAAATATTGTCAAGTAGTAACGAATTATTAATTTGACACCGCCAGAAGTCGAAAAAGGCTACGCTAAGCCTCTTGCCCGAAAAATCCACGGATAGATACTTAGAGGCAAGCGTATCAAAATTTCATCTTATGGAAAACAAACAAAGGCGCAAAATCATTTTCAGATAGTACGTACGTAGGTAGTATTATTTCCTCGCAAATGAGTTATAAAACGTCGTATGACATACGTGAGGTTTGATAATATTTGGCTCGGGCTAACAATATCGCCTCGGCTGTAATTCTCAACTTACCGCACTTATATCATAATGTACTATTAGCGCACGCTCCGTCATATGGCCCGTAGTTTGGAACTCTCAAACAATGTACACAACCTCCGTAAATGCGTATTTTGAAAAATAGTGTTGAAAAAAAGTTAAAATGAAAATTATTCACTAAAAACTCTTGTAAGTTTTAGTCTACAGTTATTGACGTAGCCTTAGTTACGGAGGTAATTAAGATAATAATTATGTTGTCCGACCTAACCGACCTAATTAAGTTATAGATATTTTAAAGAACAATGAGGAGGAGCTCGATGGCGCGGGTGGTTAGCGCATTCGGCTACGATCGTTAAAGTTAAGCAACTTTCGCAATAGTCGGTCATTGGATGGGTGATCGAAAATCTTCTATCTCGTGTTCCTCCGTGCTTCGGGAGGCACGTTAAGCCGTTGGTCCCGGCTGCATCTGCAGTAGCACCCGCCAATCTGCACTGGGTCCGCATGGTGGGTCATGGCCCAATCTCCCTATTCCATCCATAGAAAAGGCCTGTGGCCCAGCAGTGGGAACATTAATAGGCTGATGATGATGATGAAAAAATAATGACACATAATTTAGGAAATGTAAGGCATGTTCATTAGCTCTACTATGAGATGTTGAAGAAAGGGCTGACGTATTTACAAGCAAGTCGCGATGTCATCTGTCAAATAAGCGACCATAATCTGTACATATGACAACGGCATCAGGGTGCCAAATTGCCATGGCAATGGTTTCGATACGTGAGTCGATAACTAGAGATTTCAGTTCTTAATGTGACCGCTAGAGGCGCTGTACAATTTTCCATACAAATCGGTTTCATTATCGCTAACAAAAAAGGGATTTGTAAAACTCATGGTACAACTACAGAGCCAAATTCTAAATTAATTAACGTCAGAAATCATGTGCCTTAAAAACTTGGCTTCAAGTTTAAGGAACCAGGCTCATTATTAAGGTCATTAAGATTAATCACACTAATATTACAAAGGCGAAAGTTTGTGAGTGTGTATGTTTGTTACTTCTTCACGTCTAAACGCCTGGAGCGATTTTAATAAAATTTGGTATGGAGTTAGCTGACACCCTGGATTAACATATACGCTACGTTTTGCTGCGGGAAAATATCTTTATTTTCCCTAATAAACCGCGGGTAACACCGCGGGGCACAGCTAGTTAAAGAGTAAAGGCAAAACAAGGCATTAATCATGACAATAACACTCACCTGACAGTAGCTCCTGAGCTACCGGTGCCGCTCAGACGCATCACGATACGGGAGCCATCCTCGAATATGATGCGGAGACCCTGGAATCATCAGGGATTACGTGAAAACCAACCCTCAATATTTGTTGTAACCATAATTTTGACAGAGGTGTTAAATAGATTTTTTTTATTAAGGAGGTTATTTAAAAAATTACATACTATGAATCCTTTAGAGGATAGCAATGTCAAAAGAAAACGAGGGCGCTTTTATCGAAAAATAATATATAAACCAGAAAAGAATTACAAGTTTAGTATATTTATTTAAAGCATTATACTGCCAGATAATTTAATCTAAAGAAAAGATCAATGCCCACTTTCCATACATTTGAAAACCTGACAATGAAAGTTAATGTATAAATTTAAACTAAAGTGGAAAGATTACGTATAAATTAAGTAAATAATATCCTATAGTAATTTTTACGATTTAAACGCAGGAAAATTAGAAAAATATGAATTATTTTTTAGATTATATTTATTTTTTTGCTCTGGCAACACTGAAGAGTTCAGCAATTTTTTTATTTATTTACGACTAATTACATAAAAAGGGAATATATTTCAATCAGGTTAAATCACAAAATGCAGTGCAGTTATTTGTGAATTTATTACTTTATGGTTACAAGTAAATTGAACATACAGCGTTCCTGCCAAACGGATATGAATAACCAAACAACAAATGTGAAGAATAATTTGTTCCAAGAGTGAAATAATATGAATGGATTGTATGAAAACCATCCACTTGATGTTGCTCAAAATAAATCTAAGTAACAAACTCTGTGCGGGGCGGGTTGTCAAACACCTGTCATATGTCAAAGAAATCCGTTTTACAAATCGTTCAATTGCCTACTTCACGACGAATTTATGAGGTGACAATAATAATAATTTTAATTATTCTGTAGTAAGAATCTCATATAGAAAAACTTACACATCAAATACAGTGTAAAAGTATTTGAAACGCATAAAAAACAGGGTTGAGTAAATATTCTTGACAAGTGGCAGTGTGTAAAATGGAACGTAGCAAACATTGGATAGTTGAAGTGCGTTCGGAAACTGTAACTTACACATACCGTTAACCTACTGAAATAATAAACTATCTTTTTTTCCTGCGTTTCTTTAACCACGTTGATTATTTTAATAAACTTATAATTAAATTAGCTTTATTTTGACGTATATGTCATCTATATACCGAGACCTAGATGACTATATATCTATAGTCATCTAGGTCTCGGTAGCATTGGTGGAAGTGCATCTGCCCGGATAGCTAAGGGTGCGAGTTCGATTCCCGTCTGCTGCCTGGAATGCGTGGAATTTTTTCAACTAAAATTTTCTTTAGAATTACTAGTGTCAAATTGTATCAATCGATTGAGGATCTTACAGAAAGCGAGATAAAGCTCAAAGTCAGTGTTGTTTCAAAAGTTACAATCAAATCGATGGGGGGCTTTAATGATATGTACAAAGATTTATCTGCGAATTTGATCAAATGAGCCTTACCAGCGGCAAAGCTGTATGATCCGAAGATTCCTTGCTCCATGTTCCCATCCCTCTCACTAATCTGTTAATCATTCTGCGGAATATCTCTATCTCTCTCCCACTTACCTGTTTCTTACACACTCTTCAGTCGATAGGATCCAGAAGAAGAAGAAGACGACACGTTATCGGCCGGTTTGACCATGTGATCAAGTCTTCCTGGCGCGATATGAGATGAAATGACGAACCCCGTCTCCTTGTGTTCTTAACAGACCTGTGCCCCACCAGTGGGGACAATAATAGGCTGATGATGATGTAAGAGACTTATCTTTACCCCTCTCCCACTTACCAGTTTCAGGAGCCGTATATTCCCACCCCTTTCAAACACCTACTAAGTCTTCTCAGAATCTCTCTCTACTTCTTCTATCTCTGTGCCCCACCAGTGGGGACATTAGAAGGCTGATGATGATGTAAGACACTTATCTTTACACCTCTCCCACTTACCAGTTTCAGGCGCCGTATATTCCCACCCCTTTCCAACACCTACTAAGTCTTCTCAGAATCTCTCTCTACTTCTTCTATCTCTGTGCCCCACCAGTGGGGACATTAATAGGCTGATGATGATGTAAGAGACTTATCTTTACCCCTCTCCCACTTACCAGTTTCAGGCGCCGTATATTCCCACTCCTTTCAAACACCTACTAAGTCTTCTCAGAATCTCTCTCTACTTCTTCTATCTCTTTCTTTCTCCTCCTGCTAAGCTGTAAAAAGAGATTTCTTTTCCATCTCCCACTTACCTGTTTCATGGACACGCTTTGATCAATAGGGTCCATGTATGAGAAGTTATCAGCCAGTTTGACCACATAAGTCTTCCCGGCGGCAGAATGGGAAGATCCTATGAACCCTGATTCTGTAATCTTGCGTTCTAAGGTCTGCATCATCTCATTACAAGGGGCGCTTGCGCATTCTTCGTAATCGTACCTAGATATGAGAACGGTATATTGGTTTTTGGGGCGTTTATAATGTTTTTGAGTAACCTTTTTAAAGATTTGAGCTTGATTGCCAACCAACGCGATTAGGGTTGTGGCGGCGACATCTATTGCCCCACATATATACAACGGATGTAGGAAAACAAGTGTAGGAAGGCCAAAGGGGAAGATCTTCCTCCGAGCTGGGTGATGGTAGCTCGGGGGCCGCGGCCCGACTGATGTTGGTCGGGCATCGTATATATGAAGAGTTAGCCTTCGAATTTCATTTGCGCGATGTAGCCTTCCATACTAATATTGATCGCAGTGCAGGTAACGCCATCTCTTGAGGATGGTGAGTAATGATTTCCTCCATCCGTTGTATATATGTGGAGCATATAGATGTCGCCGCCACAGGGTTACCATTTAGGAATTCCAGAAGACCTGACAAAAATCCTGACATTTCGAAAAAAGTCCGGACTTTTTAGTCACAAAATGGTAGCATTAATAACTTAGTTACAATCGTATGATATTTAAATCAATATGTTATTTTATTGTACGGATGGAAACCCTAAACGTAATGGAGTTACATAATCAGTTTTCAAGATCTCTACTCTGAAATCTTCGGTTCGGTAATTGGTAGGGGCAAATGTTTTACGGTGAATACAATCATATGTGACTGCAAAAATATTCTTCATTATGATTTCAATCAGTTACCCTAGTGTCCAATAACACAAGTCTCACAGTACCTACTTTGGAGCTCGACTAAGTGCCTGTCCACATCGCAACGTCACGACGTAGTCAACGTGGAACGTAACGTACAAATTTAAGGCAGAAACATATTTAAGTGTCGTGACGTATCGTAACGCGCCAGAAGCACATCGGTTTCATACATTTATTATGGTCTGAGACATATTTGAAGGTCGTCCATAATAAATGTAAGAAACTAACTAAGAGATGTGGTTCAGGCGGGCCACGACACGTAAATCAATCATAATCATAACCAAAAACATATATTTAGTTTAGGCTGTTACAAGCAATCATGAATGTCTAGAAGCTACGCCATCGGTTCGTAAAATTACGGCGGGAGACCTTGTACTGAGAAGAACCGGCAAGAAACTCAGCAAGGGCTGTCTTTTCTCCCTGTTTTATTAGATACTGAGTCGTCAAGTTGAAAAATGACTTCAGAGATTATTCATGAAGTCACCTTTCATTACATATTGATTAAATATACATTATTTGTTTTCCTGCATTTTGATTGCTGTGTCATAAAGTATAAATACAAATAGTGTTATTTATATTAAGTATAACTAAAATCATTTACATCTTCAATATCAAGGAAGTAAGGGCAGACTCATCTCCGTTGGCAGCACCCGTTCACGAGCATGATGAAATATGTTTCTGCCTTTACTAACAGGTTTGCATGTTATGTCAACGCACCGTGAAACGTAACCGCACCGTTCCACGTTGACAGCCTAGCCCCAAAGTAAGCACTGCAAGATTTGTTTTGTGAGAATTGGTATATTTTTATTTTATCTATTGCACAGGACTTTGCCTTAAAAAACATTCTATTTTACAGCTTGCCTATCTTAAATCGTAGTTCTCAAATCTAAACTTTATTAAATCTCTATTTTGCTTTTTAAATAATTTGACAAAATGGAATGATGTGTTAGCAAGAATAAGTCTAATATGAATCAATAGTGTTGATGCAAGTTGCTTAGAGAAAGAAGTACGGCTGATTCTTGAACAATAATAAATTATAGAGAAACTAGCTGTCCCAGCGAACTTCGTACCGCCATAAAAAAGGGGTTGGTGGTAGAAGGGTGAAAATTTAGGGTTGTATGTATTTTTGTATGATGTACCATAAAAAGGACTAGACTTATTCTTGCTAACAAGAATAAGTCTAATATGAATTAATAGTGTTGATGCAAGTTGCTTAGAGAGGTACGGCTGATTCTTGAACAATAATAAATTATAGAGAAACTAGCTGTCCCAGCGAACATCGTACCGCCATAAAAAAGGGGTTGGTGGTAGAAGGGTGAAAATTTAGGGTTGTATGTATTTTTGTATGATGTATCATAAAAAAAATAAAAAAAATGGTTGCCTGTAAAGTCGGTTTTACGGGCGAAGATTTTACGTGACAACGTCTTTTTCTCGGTAGAATATTTATTGATATGAATATAATTAAATTGCACAATAGGAACAAGGAATTGAATGAAAATAAGAATTGCACAAATTTTAACTATAGAAATATATTTTGTTTACTAAAACATTGTACATGTAAACTTAAACTTAACACGAGAGACTCATCGTAACGTTACCGAGCGTTACACTTTTTCATAAGTGACTCCCAGCCGCAACCTAATTTAAGACGTTGTCACGTCAAAAACAAGGGTGGATCACCCTTAACATTTAGGGGGATGACAAATAGACTTTGTCCGATTCTCAGACCTACTGAATATGCTTATAAAATTTCACGAAAATCGGTCGAGCTGTTTCGGAGGAGTTCAATTACGCACTCGCGACACGAGAATTTCATATATTAGATGTAATACTAACAAAATGGATACTAACAACTAACCTAGTGAAATAATTCCTGCCAAACTTCGCCCAGTGTTCCTTCAAGATGTCCTCCACGGATTGGCCCGTGTTGGCGATGACAGAGAGCCAAGCTAAAGCGGCCCACATGCCGTCCTTCTCTCGCACGTGGTCCGAGCCGGTGCCGAAACTCTCCTCGCCGCACAACGACAGGCGACCGGCGTCCATTAGGTTTCCGAAATACTTCCAACCTGGTGCCATGGATACACGAAACTCTTAATTTTGTTTCTTTCTAATTAATAAAACCACTTTGTTTTAAAACACACTTTTTTTTGTCTTCGGCAAATTAAAAGAAGACCTCGATGGCGCAAGTGGTTAGCGCTGGTTAGCGCGTTCGGCTGCGATCGTTGAACTTAAGCAACTTTCGCAGTGGTCGGTCATTGGATGGGTGACCAAAAATTACTATCTAGAGCTCCTCCGTGCTTCGGAAGGCACGTTAAGCCGTTGGTTCCGGCTGCATCTGCAGTCGTTAGCACCCACCAATCCGTACTGGGGCCGCGTGGTGGGTCATGGCCCAATCTCCCTGTTCCATCCATAGGGCAGGCCTGTGCCCCAGCAGTGGGGACATTAATAGGCTGATGATGATGATGATGAAATTAAAATAATAGAAAACGAGCTTTAAGCCCACTGAAAAGGTGTTTTAAAACACAATTTTATTAATAGGAACGGCTAAAAGAAGACCTTTAATAAGAATAAAAATTTTGTTTCATTCTAATTAACAAAAACACTTTATTTTTTAAACACACATTTTTTTGTCTTCAACAAATTAAAATAATACAAAACGAGCTTTAAGCCCACTGAAAAGGTGTTTTAAAACACAATTTTATTACATAGGAGCGGTTGAAAGAAGACCTTTATTATAAATAAAATTTAACCTTACAAGTTGATATTTATTTGATGTTACCAGTAATAAATTGTATATTCCAACATTAATCAAGCTAATTACAATGCATCAGTGGCGTTTAGACTAAGGAATAGGTTCGAAACTAAAGCACGTAATTGTACAATCAACACGAAATGATACAGCCATATAAATTGAGGCCATGAGAACTATAGTGGCCTAACTCATTTTTTAACCATAGTGGCCTATCTTACTTGGGCCAGTATAGCACCTCAAAGTTAGATCACAGACTAAAAACCGTAACAGTGATTATACTGCCATCTAGTGAATATTCGTTGTATCACTTTTAGACCACTCTGGTTCTATCAAAATGATGGATTTGAACTGGATAAAATCACAAACTCTATATTGTAAAAAATGAGTTAGGCCACTATGGTTCTCGTGGCCTCAATTGATCCTTAACTCTCAAAGACAATTATATTTTTAAACTAATCATCAATTAAAATGCCATACCCATTATTTATTTAGCACTCAAGGTACTGCTGTATAATATCATGTTGAAGTAACTAGGCTATAGGGGTACAATGGTACAATTTCTGGCATTATTCATTAAACCTAAAATTAAATTTGAGAACAGTGTGACCTTGTCATTCTCTATACAGAATAAAAAAGCTGATGTTACCATCAAAAAATAACTATTAAATTAAGTTTAAAGTTTACAGAGTCATGGCAGAATCAATACCATTAACACACTAAAAACAACAATCACACATATAATTATTCCTACTCACCAGTGGGTACTTCAAAGATTTCCTTCCCAACTGCCGCTGCGACCCTATCGACTGCAGCTGCAGTCGGCATACTGCGCGCGAACCCTCTCACACCCGTCGCCTTAAAGTACGGGATATGGTGCAGATGATTAGCCAGCACCGCCAGGGAATCAGACGGGGTCACGAAGAACGCGCCTCGACCGATTATCATGTTGCGATCACCTGATATTTGAACCTATTTAATATTCGCCCTTACAGAAACACTCGGTATCTATTAAAATACGGGATATGGTGCAGGTGGTTGGCCAGCACCGCCAGGGAATCAGACGGGGTCACGATCAACGCGCTTCGCCCGATTATCATGTTGCGATCACCTAATATTTGTACCTAATTAATATTCGCCCTTAAAGAAACACTCAGTATCTATTAAAATACGGGATATGGTGCAGGTGGTTGGCCAGCACCGCCAGGGAATCAGACGGGGTCACGAAGAACGCGCCTCGCCCGATTATCATGTTGCGATCACCTGTTATTTGATCCTAATTAATATTCGCCCTTACAGAAACACTCAGTATCTATTAAAATACGGGATATGGTGCAGGTGGTTGGCCAGCACCACCAGGGAATCAGACGGGGTCACGAAGAACGCGTCTCGACCGATTATCATGTTGCGATCACCTGATATTTGTACCTTATTAATATTTGCCCTTACAGAAGCACTCAATATCTCTTAAAGTACGGAAAGTGGTGCAGATAATTTACCAGCACCGCCAGGGAATCAGACGGGGTCACGAAGAACACGCCTCGCCCGATTATCATGTTGCGATCACCTGATATTTGAACCTAATTAATATTCGTCCTTACAGAAGCACTCAATATCTCTTAAAGTACGGGATGTGGTGCAGATGATTAAGCAGCACCGCCAGGGAATCAGACGGGGTCACGAAGAACGCGCCTCGACCGATTATCATGTTGCGATCACCTGATATTTGTACCTAATTAATATCAACCCTTACAGAAGCACTCATTATCTTTTAAAGTACGGAATGTGGTGCAGATAGTCTAGGCCAATCCCATGCGTTTTCGGTCACGTGATTATTAATTAATGAACAAATAAATAAAAAAAAAACCATAAAAAAAATATGGAAAAGTTATTATTTCTTTGTTCTTTCAGAATAGTAAAATCGCTGCTAATATTTTATTTTTCATACTGTGGAATAGCCTATTCGTGCTTGGACCTCAGTTTCGTGATCGACTTACCATCCCCATCGAAGGCTGCACCGAAGTCATAGTCGCCGTTCCTCACGGCCTCAACCAAGTCAGCCGCGTAGGTTAAGTTAGGATCCGGATGTGCCCCCCCAAAGTCTTCTAGAGGCACAACCCGACGGATATTCTTATCGGATGCACCAAGCTCGTCGATGAATACGCGCTTCACGTACGGCCCGGTCACTGTTTATTTGGACAACATCAAGGTATAGATAAAAAAAATCTTGTGTAAAATAGAAAGTTGTATTTTGTATACAACTATATACAAAATACAACTTTATATATTAGAGGAGCTCGATGGCGCAGATGGTTAGCGCGTTCGGCTGCGATCGTTGTAGTTAAGCAACTTTCGCAGTGGTCGGTCATTGGGTGGGTGACCAAAAATTTCTATCTCGAGTTCCTCCGTGCTTCGGAAGGCACGTTAAGCCGTTGGTCCCGGTTGCATCTGCAGTCGTTAGCACCCGCCAATCTGCAATTGGGCCCGCGTGGTGGGTCATGGCCCAATCTGTGCCCCAACATTAAGAGGCTGATGATGATTATGATATTAATAGTAAATGCACCAACACGACCAAAATCGTGGCCGAAACCTGTCCAAAAGGTACATTGGACGATCCACGGAGCTCCGTAAGATGACCGCGTAGTGAAAAACAATATAAGGCATTATTTAAACATTGAAAGTTACCTTGAATTCATACTGTATAAGGTCTTGATTAAAACGCATGCGTCAAAGAGTGATGACAGTTTTATCGGATAATTTAGTGCTGCATGTAAAAAAATATATAAGTGCAAATAATCTAACCTCCACTCATAGAATCGATGAGCACGTTGAAAGGTTTGGACTGCCCCGATCCCTGGATCAGGGCTTTGATCTTGGGGAAGTCGAAAATCTCCTTCATGTAGTCCACATAATCCTTAACTGAGTCTATAACCTCCACAGTGAACTGCCGATCTTCTACCTGTGTGAAACAACTTTCTTTATAAGCATTGGAAATAATTTCTCCAGCTGGAAAAACCAATCTTTAATGTCCTAAAAACTTAGATTAAAACAAAATGGATAGACACGGTACGCTCATACTAGCATCACATAAAATATGATTCGTCTCAACTACATAAGCAACTCGCACACACAAACAGGACTGAATATAAACATTCAATCGAGCGAGCGAGACAGAACTATACGCTTCAACGCAGCGTATTGTTGTCCTTTTCTTGATAACAAAATGGCGATTACGTAAATAACATTCACGACAAAACGTGATTTTTGAGAAAAAAATGGTTTTTACAGTTTTACGAATGAAAAGTGTTCCCAGGGCATTTATTTGATTTTTAACTATTTGTTGTTTTATCTTCATAACATAAAATATACGCAAATATTGTTATATTGAGTGCAAATGCAGCGAGTTTGAATGTCCAATTGAGACTAAAGCAAATTATGGTTATGCACCACAATTTAAGCGGATCACTTTTGAACCGCGGGTGCCGTATCTACCCTTTTTGTTTTAATCAAAGCCTAAAAATTATTTTGTACTATTTAAATAAATGAAAGATTTGCTCCAATTTAAAATGAAAGATTGGAGTAACTAACATATAAAAAGGCGTGTTTTCGAAAACTACAACTTTAAGTACATATACACGACTTAATAACTTTAACTGGCATTAAAACGTCAAACGATACAATCTAATGTCACCGTGTTCGGAATTTTAGTAATGTGTGACGTCATTTTAGTTTTGGCCAATCCCTTACTATTAAGTCCCCTTACTCCCCTTAGTCCCTTACTATCCCTTACTTACAATTAGGGTAGTCTAACCCTTTTACTATAATAAAAAGGGTTAGACTACCCTAATTGAAACTAAACAGATCAACCCGTCTTAATTTAGTTGTCTCCTATTGAACAGCTTTTTTTACTCAAACTATACTCAAGAAAAACTACCAATGACCTTCAACACACACATTGTTAAAAAAAATGTTTTTATGTAGTGTCATCTAATAACAAGGCATCATAAAATTACCAAATAATAAAAGACAGCTAGGTGTAAAACATTAAGATTGTTTCTTGTAAAAAATTACTAAAAAAAATCTGAATCACCACACAACTTACTTTGAAATTGTAAGTGCCAATCTTGTCTATGGGGCAAGAGACGTCACTGGCAATTTTGTACTGCTTGATTACAGTTGTGAGTTTATAGATGTCGTTAGTGGTACCATCTGGGGCAGGCCCTCCATTGCTGCAGTTGAATTTTATGCCGAAGTCGTTGTCTATACCACCAGGGTTGTGAGATGCGGTCAACACAATACCACCTGGTGAAAGAGAAGATTAGTCATTATATATTTGCCTATAGCAAATTTAGAAACATTCTGAAGAAGGTTTAAGTTTACATTATTTTCTTTTACAATATCACATAATATTCCAATCAGTCAAAAAAAGACTGTACAATGCAATTCAACTAAGAATAGGACCGACTGGGCGCCATATTGTGACGTCATAGCTGTCAATTCAAACCAGTTAGGTAGAGTGAGCAAAAAAGTTTTTCTTTAATAAAACCAAAAAAATCAGATTTTTAATAATCTATTTATTAAGACTGAGTGAGAAAAAACATTATTCAGAATCTAACTCTTTAATTCTGTTCATCTCTGCACTACCGTCGGACCAGTCATGATCATCACTGATGCTTTCAGCTATGAAGTAAAATATTGATTATTGTAGGTTTTCAAACGACAACATTATTTAAAATAAAATCAGTCTTTATATTACCTGTATTTATAATAAAACTAAAGTGCTTATATTCCTCTTTCCCAGTACTCATTTTTTTTACGTTTCATATGATTTATTTAATACTTTGGTTTACAAATGTTCTAAAAAAAGTGTTCCGAGATTTTTTTGCAAACCATACTTTTTCAGCAACATTTGACAGATGGAGGTCATTGGCTTTCCCATTCTTATTTGAATTGCATAGTATTACAAAATTTTGTGTGAATCAAAATGCAGACTAACATTTTTACTTTTAATTACATGATAAAAAAAATACAAGGGCAAAAAGAAGTAGCAATTTTAGTTCCATAACGTTTTTCGCCATATCCTAAAAGGAATATGTCTGCCAATAAAGACTAACCATTTTGTACGATTATCGTTTAAATAATTTATAATTGTATTATACAATAAAAACAAAATACAAATTGGGAGCTGGACCAAGTGGAATTCTCACTATGGTTATGCGGTTTTTGTCTAAGCATGGCTATACATATTTGCTTTTTGTAAAGACAGCAGTATGTCATGTTCTATTTCCACTTCTGTAGTTGACAACAGTCCCTCCTCTTCATGCCTCATTGATCTTCTTTCAGAAAGAAATAGGAGGGATCGCTGTCTAATATAGTTAAGGCAAACACAAATATCCATGCCATGAAGTGCCATGCAGTTCCAATTTGATGTGACCTCAATTTGATGTGGGTAAGACAGATTTCGCAAGGCCCTGTTCTGTGGCGACCTGAAGACGGATTTTATAATCGCTTTTATGCAATGCATAAAATTTTATCAGGCGTGAGGTCCCTTGTACCGCGAGGCCGTAGGCGGTGGCCCACGTCGCCCACGCCTTACGCCGCCTCTGGTGCCATGCCAGCATCTGAGTTTGTTTCGACAGTTCCTCTCAGGAAGATCTCCCAATTTGGAACTGCTCTAGCCACTGCAAGACTTGCTGCTTCACATAGCACATCAAGTACTCTATCATGGCGACGTGAGTATTGACCCCTATCAAGGAGCACTTTGCAACCTTTGCCTCACCACAAGTATAGCTCGATTTTTCAGAGGCTTTCCCCCATTTTAAGTATTTAAAATGTATGTATATCAGCGATAAAGGCTTTGCAATTAAAATTGAAATTAACTCACCCAGAGTTTTATATTTTCTGATGATACATGACACAGCCGGAGTAGAGAGAATCCCATTCTGTCCAACCAGTAACTTAGCAACCTGTGAATTTTGAGCGACAATAATGTTTCTTTAGAATTATTTTATAAAATGCTAGTGAATAATTGGTAAAATAAAAATATAATAAATAGACTATGTTCCTATTACTTCTTTCGCATATAAAAGTATTTCTTTTGCCAATTTCACAAATAAAAAAACCTCAGTGGCCGAGTGGTTTGTACCCTGGGTTTCATGGTGTCACCAACTTGTGAGGTCCTGGGTTTAAATACCAGTGGGGGCAGATATTTGTGTGATGAATACGAGCATTTGTACTCCAGTCATGGATGTTTAATATGTATTTTCTATATAAATATACTTATATATGTACAGTATATGTATTCTATCAGTTACCCTAGTATGCCATAACACAAGCCTTATAGTGCTTTCTTTGGGGCTAGGCTAATTGGTGTGAGTGTTGGCAATATTTATTTATTATTTATAATGTAGTTTCATGCTATGTGGAGAAATTTTGCTGGATATAGGTACGTCTCTGTAGCCTAGTGGTGAGTACATTAGCCCAGATAATTAAAGGAGTTCGTCAGAAGCTCACCTGACAACTAAAGTAAATTAAATCATTCCTAATTATAGGTACTTAATTATTCGGAGTAAGGCTAGAGAAGTACCTTCAACACCAACTTTTCACACTTGTTACAAAATGTGAAACTAGCATTTTGCTGTGAAACTATTAAATCTAAACTTTAAAAAACTCACTGAAAAGTAGGTTAATGGTTACATATAACCAATAAAAGGATTATCTGAATAAATACAGAACATATTTAAGTTAATTTATATATCATAGGAGTTTGTACTCACTCCATTTGCGGCGGATATTTTGATAATTTTATCAACAACCTCCTTCACGAGATACCGGCCGTCTCCGCCTACAACTAGTGTAGAGCCCTCAATAGCATCTTTATTCGCATCTAATATACTCTGGATAAAGTTCTCCGTGTAGTTTTCCTGAAGAAAAACTTTAACTTTCTTGCGCAGTCCGCTGGTACCCGGCTTCTGACCATCGTATGGTGTAGTGTTCACAAACACTACCTTGGACATTTTTATAAATGAATCTACACTGGTAGTTTGGTCACAACGATCACCAACGAGACACAGGTCTCAAATGTCTCAAATAACGTGTTTATTATCTCGTATCGAACGAAAGGTCAACCATCCAGCGGCGTTTAATTACGAAAATCAGCTGTCAAACTCGGTAGAGATGTCAAACCAATGTCATTCAAGGTTAAATCACGAGGATGCGTTCAAAAAGTAATTAAATTGAGTTTGATTGAGAGAAACATTTTGCAACATTTGATATTATGTTTATTCTTGATTGCTTACATTCCCATCCTAATAAATTTCAATTTTGGTTGCATGGGCATACCCACTAGCTAATTTTAAGGATAAGGAACTGAATGGCCAAAATGGAATGCATCCGGGGGTCTAAAATATAGACATTTGATGAAACATAATCATGTTTCATTTATGAATTCTTAAATTTTCGTTATTGGTATTTTATTTAAGTAGTCGAAGTTTCTCACAGATGGGATGGGATATGGATGGGACCATAGATATTGGGATTTAACACTGAGGACCACGTAAGGACATTTAGGAGACATAATATTAGTAATCTGTGAATTTAGGTTGACGATGATGACTGTTATCATTATTGATAACACATGGTCAAGTTAAGGACACCTTAGGACACCAATTAAAAACCTCATATTATGTATACAAAATAATATAATTTCATTAAAAAACCTTAAACAACCATATAAAAAATCTTGAGCTTATAATAAGGTATTTACATAAGATACTTCCATATAAATAAAATAAGCTATCACACTTCACATTATTCTTGTTCGTAGAAAGAACACTCTGTTGTGTAACTACACAAAGGAAAAACCTGGCTGAGTTAATTTTTTCAGAAGTAGTATTTAATCATCTTAGGTCACCATTACCGTGATAGTAGAAAAAGTGAAACTTAAGACCTTACTAGCACAATTTTGAGCGGATAACATATCATTTATTAGCTTTACAGGCCATGACCGCGCCTCCGAACTCTTTCTCGAGGTACTTGGCGACTGCCAGACACAGGGCATCGTTGTGTGGAGCTGCGAGCACCTGAATGCCCATGGGTATCTTCTTACTGTTTACTCCTATGGGAACCTGTTGAAAGATTAAAAGAAGCATGAAGAGGTATCTCTTATGTATTTTAGGTTGGTAGATAGATTCAAATTATCATGGCTGTGATTCAATATCTAAGCACCCTCATCCTCACCCCAACAGTCCCAGTTATCTAATATTTAAGGAAGGTCCGAGTCCTTACCTAAGGCCTTCTTTAAATATTAGGCATCAGATCACAAATCCCCCACGCAGATCTAATATTATCCTTTGATTCGCTATAAACCGAGTTACGGAGCTCTATCGCGCAAGCGGTTAGCGCATTCGAAAGCAATTTGCGCAATACCTGGTCGTCGGAAGGTGACCAAAAATTGATTATCTCGATATCCTCCATGCTTTGGAAGGCAGCCGTTGGTCGCAGTTGCATCTGCAGCCCATACTGGACAAATGTAGTTCCACCGGCTCTCCTTATCCCATCCATAGGGAAGGCCTGTGTTCCAGCAATGGGGACATTAGTAGACTGATTATGATGAAACCATGCGTTATATAAGTTTTTATACGCACCTGAACCGCTGGGCATTTGAGCACGTTGGCCACAGCGAACGCCGCGAAGTTATATGGGCATATGTACGTGTAGTAGTGATACGGGCTCGGCATCGGACCGCTCGGCAATAGCAGCACGCCATTATCACCCAGTTGAGACTGTAGGATAAAGCAATGAGCTTTGTCAATACAACGCAGAATAGAAGGTTCCAAGGTTTCACAGGGTAGGGGTAATCACTTATCCTGTGTAGCCTACCCTGGGAAGTCGTCACCTACCCTGGCCCAATGGTCAGGGTAGGTAACAGAGCGAGTAATGTTTTTGGTACCGCATGCGTCTACAAGCTACGGTGGCTGCTTAACACCAGGCTAGTCTTTAGTCTTTAGTAGTACGGCGCGGGCTGTTTCAACAACTCGACTAGCCTATTTTGCGTGGGTAATAAGCCATCAGGCTAGCCATAAGCTTGTTTGCCACCCTTTTAACTTGAAAAAAAAAGAACAGAAAGTCCGTGGTTTCAAACGACGATATTGTGTGAAACATCTCAAAATGTATTTCATTTATGAATTCTCCAATTTTACATTAATGGCGTAAACATAAGTGGCCATTTTTAAATAGTTAAGATAAAGTGCGCTGATCTATTTTAGATGATTCTTTACCAACTGTCTGTTCTTTTAAAATAAAAACCTACGTGCTTGCAGCTCAATAAATGAATTGATTTACAATACTAAAGCCAGATTTACATTGATACAGTAGCTGGCGCCAGTCCCGCTGGCATGCCAGCACTGATCCATGTAAACATTTTTTGGCGCCAGTCCCGCGCTGGTGCCAGCGCTGGCATGGAGTAGAACGAAGGCCTACTTTTCATGCCAGTGCCCACACCCCGCATCCCCCGCACCCCTTGCCAGCCTCACTGGATCTTTATAAACACGTTCACGCCAGTCGCTGGCGCCGCCGCTTAATGTCACCACGTGTAATTGATTTGCTGAAACTTTCGACAAGAAAATGTCTCGAAAGTGGAGTGATGGTAATACATTACAATTTATACATTTTTATAGAAATGAGGAGTTTTTATGGGACATTCGTTCGCAAAATTATAGAAATAAATAGATGCGTATAACCGCCCTACAAAATATTTGCTCTTCAATGAATATGGAAAGGTTAACTATTGAAGAAATGAAAGCGAAAGTAAAATCAGTGTTAATTTTTTCCCAAACGTGTAGTCACCACTAAACCTCAAATGTAACTGCTGGCAAAAAATGTAAGTAATACAATCCAGTTCAGTTATTGGCAGCGTTTTTAGGCGAATAAAACTGGCGCCAGCTACTGTATCAATGTAAATCTGGCTTAAGATCATTTTCCTGAAGTGACTCGCCCTTAATACCTATTCAGAAAGTGATTTATTAAATATTCTGCTGCATACCTCCCTATTTGCTTATTTATTAGTTGATCATAATTTATATATTATTTAAAACTTTCGTGGTCACTTTCTGTGTAATAATTTGTGTTAATGACAGCATTGCTACCATCTAAGTACTTTGTTTTGTTTACGAGTTCGTCGGAGGGTAGACATCGATATGTCCGCCATTAACATACTCCCTACCTCCAATTGCTTCAGTTACTCCGTGATTATGGTGCTTGCAACAGTGCCGAAATATCGGGTTCTCGTAAAAAACAGGGTACACGGTAGCAATCCCGTTAATCTTATATATAAAATTCTCGTGTCACAATGTTAGTTACCATACTCCTTCGAAACGGTCTGACCGATTTTTCTGAAATTTTATATGCATATTCCATGGGTCTGAGAATCGGCTACTATCTATTTTTCATATCCTTTAGTGATAAAGGTTGTCCACCTGTAACGTAGTGTTCTGAAACCTACAATGCGCCTTCGCCCCCAAATTCAAACTATTGGGTATTGTAACGTAGTGCTCTCATATTTGTTAGAAGGAATGTTATCCCAGGAAATTGATAGAACACTACGTTACACACCCCTAAAATTTTTTTGGACAATATTTTTTTTTATAATGTAGTATTAAAAAAAACTACCCAAAAATTTTCTCTTGTACCACCTGCCCCTATTTTTATGGCGGTACGAAGTTCGCTGGGTCAGCTAGTAATATATATTATAATAATAATAATAATAATTGTTTATTCCAGGCATAAAAAACCCAATAAAAAGTCATATACAAAATTAAAAAAAAGTAAAAGTGTAAACAAAATAATAATAAAAAATAAAATAAAATCATAAAAGCATAAAAGACAGTAAAAGTCAAACAGGTATAATATTACCTACGTCATTTTCGGTTCTCACTCTGGTGCACTGAAATCCAGTATTTGAATAAAGGATTATCAAGTCCTTTGCATACAGTTTTGATTATGCTGTTATCAGAAAGACATATTCGTGACCAAAAAGAGGCTATACCATAATATATATATCTCATAACAGCATAAAAGTCTGATATACGAGCATCTGAAAACATGCCCGACGCGCTACAGTATCTCGGTAGTCTCATAAGAATACGAAAAGCATCATTGTATTGCACTCTTATGGAACGGTACGAGCTACGATTAAAGTCAACCCAAGTATAAAAACATTGACAGTATAGGTTAAACAACATGAATTTAACCTCATCACAACATTTACCAAATTTTCGCGCGAGCATATTGCACCTCACCGATAATGCCCGCCTCTCTCGCTCAATATCGAGATCGTCCCTTCCGTTCTCTGTAAGGATGTGCCCGAGATACCTAAATTGCTGTACAACCCGAAGCACCGAACCATTCAACCATACATCAGGTACGTTCTCCGGACCCCGTCCCGCCTTGAAGATCATAACTTCTGTCTTTGCAACATTGTATTTCAACCCGTGAGCATTAGCATAATGTTCACAGATCGAAACAAGTTTACGGAGACCTCTGATTGAGGGGCTGAGGAGCACCATATCGTCTGCATAGCTTATATTATTTACACATACATCGCCAATATGACAACCGATACCAGTGCCCCTCAGCTCACCAATCAGATCATTAATATATAAATTGAAGAAGTCCGGAGAAGTCAACCCCCCTTGGCGTACCCCGCACTCTAGCTTATAGCTGCTAGAAGTCGTGTCGCCCCATCTCACACTATTAGTTTGATTTCCGTACCAGTATTCGAACAGTGCTACAACTTCTTGGTGAACATTAGTGTGGCGCAGTTTTCTCCAGAGAACTTCATAGTTCACAAGATCAAATGCGCGGCTCAGATCAAGAAAACATGCGTACACAGACGTTTTACGGCGTCTGTAGTAGTCAACAGCATGTTTTACAGTCAATATAGCTGAATCTGTAGAGAGACCGGCACGGAAACCAAACTGGGCGTCGTCAATCTCAATGTTTCTCGAAACCTCGGGCTGCACAAGTCGTTCGAGAACCTTACCTATTACAGTCCCCAGAGATATTGGGCGGTAATTGTTGGACGCGCTCACATCCCCCGTTCTATTTTTAATAATTGGAACTATTATCGTTTTCATTAAATTATTTGGGAGATACGAGTACTTGAGACACATATTAAATAACTTAGAGAGCTTAGAGCAAAGCATACCGCCTGCGTGTAATAAATGCTCAATGCTCAGCTCGTCATGACCTGGTGATTTACCTCGCGCCATAGAGGTTATAACTTTAACCACGTCTTCCTCACTAAAGCGAATGGTAGTTTTCGGACAGACAGCTACCCTACCAGACTTGTTCGAAGTGGGCAAGCATGAAACAGGCAAGGGAGCAGTTTTAAAATTTTCAGCAAATAAACTAGCTATCTGGACCTTATTCTGCAAGCCGTCGACGCTAACTGGTAAGTTTTGCTTTATGTTCATTTTCTTTATGTTATTCCAAAATTTAACAAAGTTTTTTTCTTTTCTATTAAGAGCTAAAATATTTAATTTAATTTGTTCTGCGTTTTTTTGACACCATCTTAACTTATTTTTGAAACTTCTTCTAGTATCTCTCATTTTGTTGTATATTTCACCAGAAGGTGGCTTACCCGAATATATCCAATAATTAAAGTGCAGGCGGTATGTGACATGCAATTCTTTTACGTGATAGTTCCAACCTATGACTGGACGTTTTTTCAATGCACCAGAGCGACACTCTGCAGTCAATTTAGCACCTGTTTGTAATACTGTGACAATATCATCATAAAAATTATTTATAAACATACGATGCTCGTCATAATTAAAACATTCGCAAATATCATTACTATCACAGTACGTGCACTCAATGAGATCTTCGATACCGCGCAGGGCCTTATTACAGTACTCAAAATATTTTAACACTTGATTACTGTCTCTATTTCCCCATCGCACTCCTCGATGAGGGCCTAAGACACCAATATCACTCGTTTCGCTCTCCTTAACGCCACGAACATCACATATAATACGTAGCGGGAGATGGTCTGACCAAGATACATCATACATCACACTGACAGAGTCAACAGTTTCCCACGCTGCCGCGGTTGTCACACAATGATCAAGCCACCTCACAGTTCCGTGACTCTCACTAACGAAGGAATTAATATTGTGATCATCATTTACTCACGAATAACTCGTCCTTTAGAGATTGCGTGAGTTGTTCCGCCCAAACGGCGTCGACGGCCGGCAACAGCTGCTCGCCTGCGAGCCGCATCACGAGGTACAGGCAGTGCTTGCTGAACCCGAAAAACTACACATGGAAACATTACATTGAAACCGTTATTTATAATTTTCAGTAGTTGAGCCCCGCAAAATTTTGCAGCCATCTTTTATCATAATTTAAAGGAGTGATTAGTGAGTATACATTGCAATAACGACAGGATGCTTAAATAAATAGCTGCAAATTCTTTTAATTTAGTGACACCCACTTTGTGTAAATGCTGTTTTTTTTGATAAATTTTACGTCATCTGAAAGGAATTTCGCGTGCGGGATCTCGGACTATTAACTAAATGAGTTCTTCAGTAGTTGCGGACTGTAGGAAACAAAGTAGGGTGAAAAAACTAGCCCTTGCCCGTAAGTAGATTCAGGGGATTTACGAACCGATGGCGTGGCGTAGCGTTAGACGCTACCTTTCCTTTCCCAAACTTTTTGCAAATTCCGAACTAAGTTCGTAACATAGAACCTACCTCAATAACTTATAATCATCTCTAAAGAAGCTCGATGGCGCAAGTGGTTTGCGCTTTCGGCTGCGATCGTTGAAGTTAAGCAACTTTCGCAGTGGTCAGTCATTGGATGGGTGACCAAAAATTTACTATCTCGAGCTCCTCCGTGCTTCGGAAGGCACGTTAAGCCGTTGGTTCCGGCTGCATCTGCAGTCGTTAGCACCCACCAATCCGCACTGGGCCCGCGTGGTGGGTCACGGCCCAATCTCCCTATTCCATCCATAGAGAAGGCCTGTGCCCCAGCAGTGGGGACATTAATAGGCTGATGATGATGATGATGATGATCTCTAAAGAAACTACTAACCCGAGGCCCTATCACGAATTTTAACAGTTTCGAAATAGTATCGCGTCGTCAACTTTTTCCACACAAAATTTGATGAGGACACGATTACGCAGTGGCGGCCGCTATGTCAAAATTCGTGTTTGGGCCTCTGGTTCACAAAAACCTACAAGCAGCTCCATATTGTATCAAAATAGTATATTTTAGTAGTTTCAGTAAACGATCTGACGTAATTTACTAATGTTTATGGAGACCATAAAAAGTGGATATATTCAATTTTGTTGCGAAATTCAGTAAAAAAAAACAATTTTCAAATTGCCGCGAAAACGTTTCTCTGAACTTTATGGCGTCTCACTAGTGTTTGACCACGACTGTCATTAAAACGTCGACTTTTGTCATTGCAAACGATACAATGGTGTCAATTCTAGCATGATTCTCTAAAGCTAAACTTAAATTTAACAACAGTGTATCCTTGTCATTCTTTATACAGAATGAAAAGGACAGACTGATGTTAAATTTAGTTTTAAGTTTCGAAAATCCTGGCAGAATGACACCAATGCAATGTCACTTTGGCCAGAAGTTTACTTGCGTGTCACGTCATTTTACTCTTGGCCAATCCTAGGCGTTTTCCGTCACATGACCGTGGAGCAAAAACTAATTTGTATTTAATGATTTTATAGAAAAGCTATTTATTATTTGATCTTTTAGAAAAGTAACAGCGCTGCTAATATTCATATTATTAAATACAGATGCCAACAACTGGTACATAATTTTTCTTACTGTCAAATAGCCTATTCTGATGCGTCCTACCCTGTTCTGTTTCGTTATTATTAAATACAGATGCCAACGACTGGTACATATTTTTTCTTACTGTCAAATAGCCTATTCTGATGCGTCCTACCCTGTTCTGTTTCGTTATTATTAAATACAGATGCCAACGACTGGTACATATTTTTTCTTACTGTCAAATAGCCTATTCTGATGCGTCCTACCCTGTTCTGTTTCGTTATTATTAAATACAGATGCCAACGACTGGTACATATTTTTTCTTACTGTCAAATAGTCTATTCTGATGCGTCCTACCCTGTTCTGTTACGTTATTATTAAATACAGATGCCAACAACTGGTACATAATTTTTCTTACTGTCAAATAGCCTATTCTGATGCGTCCTACCCTGTTCTGTTTCGTTATTATTAAATACAGATGCCAACAACTGGTACATATTTTTTCTTACTGTCAAATAGCCTATTCTGATGCGTCCTACCCTGTTCTGTTACCTTATTATTAAATACAGATGCCAACAACTGGTACATAATTTTTCTTACTGTCAAATAGCCTATTCTGATGCGTCCTACCCTGTTCTGTTACCTTATTATTAAATACAGATGCCAACAACTGGTACATAATTTTTCTTACTGTCAAATAGCCTATTCTGATGCGTCCTACCCTGTTCTCTGTTACCTTTTTGATAATCTCCCACAGCATGTTCGGCTTGCCCTGCCCGTCTGTATACATGGAGAAGTAGTCCTCAGGCTCCTTCGTCATCCAGTGGCGCCACACGTTGGTGATGTTGTCGAAACACTTGTGGTAATAGGGTCGGGGCTTATTCTCGCTAGGTAGAGCTTCCCCTAGTTTCAGGACTACCCTGAAGAAAAACATAAGCATAAGTCGCGGCGCAGTAAACGAAATGTATGAAGAATATTATGGTGATATACACAGAACACAGAAGGAGGTTAAAAGGGTGATAATAGACCATTTGTAGAAGCTATGTCGCCGGCTGGCCCCCATCTTATAGATAATATATCTTATAATAGCCAATCAAACAACGCGACTTCAAACAATCGGACCAATCAGCGCTCACACGACGCACTCAGAACCAAGTTGTGGTCGAGTTATGAGCATTTGCTCACTCATAACTATGGCGTGCCTGCCCCGTCCACAAGGCCCTTCTAACCTCTTGCTGTATTCATGGGTGTCAGTGAACGCACATATGTAGTAGGAATGGCTTTACAACCGCCATTAAGTTTGAAATGCACTATACTTATGTACCATAAGTAAAGAAATTAATACGTGTCTGTAATAATACTGCAGCAGTCAACAAAGGATTGAGCTTCGACCATTAATTTACTACTTAGGAACAGCTACAAAGTATATTAAACATTGCAAATATTATAATTTTAGATAGAAAAGATACACTTCGCAAAATATTCACTAAATATACATTATCTGACTTTGTTTCTCTCTTTATTCGTACCTATATTATTTTTTTTAGTTTGCATAATGTAGATTTTACCCTTTAGGGACAGACTTTTCGCCATCGATAGGAAGCTGGATGTCAATACTAATTTTGTTTGCTGGTTGCTTTTTTTTATAGATAGGTCCGACACATCACCCTACCCCATCTGATATTAAGTGACGGTGAAGTCTAGACGTGAAGATAGCTGGTACAGCAATTCTATCTGCCACACCAGGCCTTACCGTGCTTGTTGCTTTTTCACGCCTCTTTTAAAGGATCCCAGGTTGAAGGAGAGAACACGTTTGCGGGCAGAGCATTTTATTTCCATTTACCGATAGTACGAAAAAGATATGAGTAACCAAATTTCTTTGATTGTTATATTTTTAAGCATTTAACTAAAATCTAAAGAAAATATTTACTCTAGTAAATATTCCGCAATCCAGGCGGCCTTTTTTTGTTATCAGATTATTGAATTGGATGCTCATCGTAATATTTGATTGGCCAAAACATAAACACTGATATTCAGCAGTTAGCATCGAACCTGACATAATAAGTTAAAAATATAGTGGAGTGAGAGTACAAAATTATGGAGCTTACCTACCTATTCATGACATCCTTTATTTCAGCCTTCGGTGGACTCATCCAGCAATCGTTGATGGACGATGTGAAGAACACCTTTATGTCCTGAAATTAACAAAAAAGGGCAGCTCTATTTATTTTATTTTATATTTATTTTGAGGCTTTTATTCGTGAAATAACATCTTTAAATATTTTTTTCGGCGTCCGTCAACGATGTTTATACCATGGACCATGACCATCTTTCTGTAAGTTATCCGATACCACAGCAACACTGGTGCATTGCCTTTTCTACACAAAATTAATCTCTACAAAATTACTGCTAAATAATTCCCAGGAGTTCTACAAACCTTTATGTCAACTTCCCGATCAAGTCCGAGCTTTATAGCTTTGTCTCCAGCGATGATCCTGGTCAGAGGTGCCAGGTCTTCCACGTGCTTCGATATGAAGCCGAAGCAAAACATGCTGGAAGCCTCTTCGCCGGTCCGCGAGAACAATCCTTTCAACAAACCACACAATTCATCATCAGCCTATTAATGTCTTCGCTGCGGGGTCAAAGGCTTTCTCTATTAGTGGAATAGCGAGACTGGGCCACGGCTCACCACAGACTGCAGATTCAGCCAGGACCAACCGCTTAACGTGCCATCCGAAGCATGGAGAAATTCATTAAACCCAGAACCGACACATAAATTCATTTAAATGTTCCTAAAACACTAGCCCCCTTATTAATAAAAAAACGACGAGTTGCACTCCGGGAGTGCCGGCAAAAGTGAAAACTTGAATATTAACGTTGTGCATTTTTGATATTTCGGAATGGTTAGGGAATAATTTTGCACGAATTGCTTTAATTATCAGTATAAAAGTACTATCATGTATGTGGTAGAATACAATATTTATTTATTGCGCTATCGTACACAAACATGACAATTTATATTACATTAAAAAAGTTTATCTCTCAGAAAAATCAACTTACATGAATCACGTTTAAGCGCACTTAGCGACATCTATTGTAAAAAAATGCATTTTCTTCGCAATAAAGCTGCCACGTGGACGTCCTAGATAGAGACTTATTATTATAATACGATAAAATAAAATATTACTATGTTTCGTCCAATATATTGAAAGTCAACAACCTTTCCAATTTTATTGTGTGTCATGATGCGATCAGCCCACGTGTTTAACCTGACGCGAGTTTAACATTTTTTACCCATACAAAAAAAGTGTACAACGCCGCTAAAGAAGTTTTCACTTCAACAAGGAATAAGCTTAGGCTAGTTACACCGTGTTTTGTTCATATCACTAAAATGCCATTTGTAATTCAATAGACAGAGACAAAATATGGAGTAACTAATCCTAGTGTAGTCCTTGTTTATTAATAATGGGGTAGGAGAATAGTTTGGGTGCTATTAGTTAGTGTTATAATCACTCACTTAATATTATATATTTTTAAGCTATTGCATAGATTTTATCGCGGGCTTTGAGCGCGGCGACTGAATCAAGGAATTCCGTAACGACAACCTGACAACAGTGCATATGAACACAATTTTCGCCTTTCCAGTATCGATCGAAACGGCGCAGTATGTAATTTCTGCCGCGTTCAACTCATCGCCGTGGTCGTCGGTTCAAATCCCTCACTCGTGTTTTTTAATATAATTTTTCACCTTTTTTTATATATTTGTTTTAGACCCCAGCACCTGTTCTTATTTTTATTTGTCTCTCTTTTATTTAGACTTTATAGTTTAAATTTTTGGACTAAAGATGGTAAACTGTGGAGTTTGTTGAAGTCTTTTGGCGCCGGGCAATGCTGTTGTTTGCTGTGCTTGCCAATAAAATATCATTAGGCATGTCTCGCTATCTATTAATATCAAAGAAAAAACTTGAATGAATATCAAAGAAAATAAAATACTGCATACATAAAATAAATAAATAATTATAATTGCATAAGTTGATAAATAATGCTATGCATTAGCTTTACCGCGGCAGTCCCCGAGTGCCACACGTATTTTTTTATTTTTTTAGCATTTAACTACTAGATGTGTAAATCTAAAGAAATAACTATAATTGCTATTTCTTCTTTCAAATGTTTAATACTTGTAAAAGGTATTCATTACACATTGTGGTTTACTTACAATGCGAAAAGATGGCGCTGCCTTGCAGCCTAAGAAATACTAGAGGAAATTCGACACAGACAATTAGGGCCGCGGTAGCATAATGTACCCTGATGGCCGTGTCGAATTTTAGAAGTTAAAATAATGATCAGTACATCCACCCGGATAGTGGAGGCTGCGGATTCGAGTCCCGTCAGCTGCCTGGTCCGCGTGGAATTTTTTCTAGTAAAATTTTCACTTAATATTTACCTTTTAAGTTGATGATGTCAGCTGTTGGATGGTATCCAAACATCCCGCAGTAGAAGGAAGGTATTCGAGTGGAACCACCAACATCAGAACCTGTTGAATATATGCAGACTAAATATTTATCGATCACAAAATGTTAAAGAATTTGACAAGAATACTCGTAGCTCATAATTGTCTAAAAACAAGGCTCAGTCAATAACTCTACTTTGATTTTGCAAGCAAGTCCATTGCTTGCAAAATCAAAGTAGAGTCACGAGTTCACCTTCACTTAACATCAGGTGGAGTGAAGTCATTTGTCGGACCTATCCATAAAAAAAAGATATAAGAGCATTGCAACAAAAAGCTACTATGCAATATCGTGTGACTGAAGACGGGATTTATGTTGGCTTCAAGAAATCTACATAAGATCTGCCACAAGATCATCAACTGACTGTGTATATTGTCGCATGCGACGCTTGTAGCATTTCAGCCTTCGCCGAGTTATCCTCCAACTTCCATGCTCGTCGAGAAAAGCTGCGCACACATCCCATACACACGCACATATATATATATAATATATATAGTCGTGTGGTGCATATAGTTCTTCTAATCAGAACAAGAATTGCTCCAATAGAGGTGTAAAGAACGCAGCTCTTAGTAGCCGTACGTCTGGGGGCCAATGGCCTAACGGAAATGCTTTGGGAAACGCTAACGCTTACGATTTTATATTGTTATTTCTAGTCGCCTGAGGTTTTCGAATACCTCACGCTCATTTTTTTTAATATTGTTATTACCAATGCAAAAGAAAAAGAAAGAGCGCGAGGCATTTGAATACCTCAGGCGGCTAGGAATAACAAAATAAAATCGTAAGCGTTAGCGTTGTCCAAAGCATTTCCGTTAGGCGATTGGCCCCCTGGTATACTATCAAAGGATTTTAATACAGTTACACCTTTGATAGTGTATGTCTTTCACATAAAAAACGAGTGCAACTTACTGAGACCTATCACCGTGCTATAAGTGGCCATAAGGGCAGCTTCAGCGCCGCTGGAACCCCCGGCTGTGCGCCCAGTGTGGTGCGGATTCTTCGTCGCACCATACAGTGGATTCCTACCCTCTGACCTGCCAAATAGGTTTATTTGCATGATCTCACGAAGCATATCTTAAATATTTTAACAGACTAAGAACCCTTGTAGACAGATGAAGAATTCTGGGACATCTATCAATGAGATGTCCAATATTCTTCTTCTGAAATTCTGACACATTTACAGCGCATGCTGTATGTTCTCTCGTTTATTGTGAAGGCAACGTTCTAGTAATACACCTGTGTCTTAAAAGAGTCTAAAGGTTATTTAACTGTTTACTATGAGGCTACCCAAATGCTCACCGTCACCTTATAATGAAAATCTTAAGATATTAGATGAGTGAGATAATATAGAACCACTTGCAAACCCTGTTTCTTAAATATAGTACGTCTAAATTTTACCATATAAGCAGTTCAGGGAGATTGGTAACAGCGATGGGGATAGCGCCAGCATTCTTGAGTCTGACGACCGACTCGCAGTCCTCGTCGGCTCGCTTGTTCTTCCGCGAGATGAGACCCCACGTCAACGAGAGCCCCTTCACGGTCTGCGATTCCTTCGTGGTGAATGGAACCCCTGAAATACCCATGGAGAAATCATACATCATATTTTTTCTTGTTTTGATCATTAAGTTTTATCTATATACAAGGCAAGTACGAGACAGAAAATCATATCATATACAAAACAAATACGAGAATGTTTCCGTACCACTTCTCCGTCAAAAATGTAAATAAATTATGTTCTTAGTATGAGAGCCCACTTTATGAATTTTTATATATTTTTTGTTTCTGGGTCAGTGGAAATATATCATTGTTATGTTTCGTCGTTTGGGTACAGAGAATCTTAAAAGGCTTTTAAACTACGCAAACTGCTGTCTGTGAGTGTATAGTTTTAGTTCCAGTAACAATTTATAGATAATTGTCTGGTAAACTGGACATTTCACTGTCTACTTTTGATCAGGCGCTGTCCTAGGGGGAGTCACAGGGGACACTCCCCCTAGGACAGCCCGAAAATCACACACGTCAAATTGAAAAATCTTTTGCCCCTAGCCGCAATGCATTTACCGAATTTTAAGACGATGATCTCTAACCAAATATAAAGACTGCTGAAACTCCTGGGAACTCTTTATATAAGCGGTGCGACTTGCGACATCAGAGAGCAAATATTTACTAATTATAGGGTGCAAACACGGTGCAAATGGTAACTTTCGACAACCGCATGACCACGCCTGGTTCTGACACGATGACAATTAAACGTCTGTTTGAGAGGTATCACTGGCAGAATTGTGGGTATATCCCCGTTGAGTCATTAAAAAAAGAAAGAAAGGTATCACCCAAATCCTAAATAAAAATGAATTACTCTGTAAGTAAATAAGTATAATTATTTACCCAGGAATGGTTTATGTTTTTCGATGTCAGTGACGCCGGTGGCTATCAGGCTGTCCACTGCTCTGGCTTCGGCTAGAGCTTGCTCGTATCTGTCGTCGACAACCGCATTGATGATGGGATTCACCTACAATAAATAAATATTATTTTCGCTAAACAATATTGAACGTTCTAAAGAAAATATAACTAGAAAAAATTCCACGTGGACCAGACAGCAGACGGGACTCGAACCCGCACCCTTCGCAATCCGGGCGAATGCACTGACCAATTATGCTACCGCGGCCCTCACGGACCTTTCTAGTTATATTTTCTTTAGATTTAAACATCAAGCAGTTAGGTACATGCTTTAAAAAAAAATTATAATATTGAACGTTGCCAGCTGCCGCCGGGATAATAATAAAATCGTTTGACAAACACATGCGTCTTGCATGTCACCTTCACGGACCTTTCTAGTTATATTTTCTTTAGATTTAAACATCAAGCAGTTAGGTACATGCTTTAAAAAAAAAATTATAATATTGAACGTTGCCAGCTGCCGCCGGGATAATAATAAAATCGTTTGACAAACACATGCAAGACGAGCAGTAATAAATATCTCATACTTTGATGATGTTCAACAAAGAAACTTCAACCTCAAGGCGCAGAGCTTCCCTTTAGATGGAGAGAATGGTCTATGACGGTCCACTACGTGGTCAGTGTGCGAATTAGTAGGTGCTAAAGACTACGAGAGGAGCTCGATGGCGCAGGTGGCTAGCGCGTTCGGCTGCGATCGTTGAAGCTAAGCAACTTTCGCAGTGGTCGGTCATTGGATGGGTGACCAAAACTTTACTATCTCGAGCTCCTCCGCGCTTCGGAAGGCACGTTAAGCCGTTGGTCCCGGCTGCATTTGCAGTCGTTAGCACCCACCAATCCGCACTGGGCCCGCGTGGTGGGTCATGGCCCAATCTCCCTATTCCATCCATAGGGAAGGCCTGTGCCCCAGCAGTGGGGACATTAATAGGCTGATGATGAAAGACTACAGATGCAACCAGGACGATTAGCTTAACATGCCTTCCGCAGCACGGGAGAGCTCCAGGATAATAAGTTTTTGGTCATCCATCAAATGACCGGCCATTTCGATAGTTGCATAACTTTCGCGATCGCAGCCCGAACACATTAAGCTCCTCGCAGTCTAGCTCAGTGCTCACAAACACTAATTGTGTAAAACGCACTCAAGAATAACAGTAAGTTGCTGTGTTATTATCATGTACTAGCAAACCAGTGAACCAAATGTTCACCAAAACCTGATTTCTCGAAAACCGGAAGTGCTACGTTACTCAAATCCGGTTTGTAGTCTTATCAGACTATTCTTAACTTATAACTTAAATATTCTCTTTATCTATCTCTCACGGTTTGGCCGCTGAAACAGCACCACAAACAGACGGACTTGTCTAATAGATAAGATATTAGAGAAAACATAACCAGACAACCCAAAAAAAAGTTTGCCATGGGTGAATAAAACACAAAGAAGATTTATAAAAGATGTTGGTTTTGCTCCGAAGCACGCTGGAGATACCGACTGAATTCTCTAAGGCGCTGCAGCTGTACTTGCAGTTCGGTGTGTGCAACTGCAGCGTTGTTAAAAATCACTAAGTATCCTGTAAATCGCCACATGTCAAATAATCATCAAAGTAGCACCTTAATCATATTTAAAAATACGTTTACCGTGCATGCAATTTCAAAGATCAAGAATATTTACTGAACTATCTCCTCAGCATTTTATTGTCTTCCTGAGGAGGGCTTCAAAATATAAGTTGAAAAAATAAAAGTTGTTATTTTTTTAGTACATATATGGAGTTGGAGTAGTCATGCTCTCTTTAAAGTCTCTGCGGTGGTGTAGTGTGAGGCGGGTCGTTACGTTCCCTAAAATATGGTTGAGTGAAGCGATTGCTGGTTCATGCGTCATGCTCGTGAACGGGTGCTGCCAGCGGAGTGATGCTCTATACTGCGTTACTTCTGATGTTATCTATTATACCTAATATGAACACTGTTTGTATTTATACTGTATGACACAGCGATCAAAATGTGAGTAGACGTTGTATTGGTAGCGACACGCTCTATTTGTAAATGTTGCTACTTCTGTTAAATGCTGATGAGTTTCTTGCGCCCATTCTTTTCATCGTTTAAAAGATGTCCTGAATGGAAAGGAAGGAAAAAATATTGGACAATTCAAAAGAGCTTTCAATAAATAAATTTGAATAAAGTATCATGGAATAAAGTATTGCATTTTATAAGCAGGATCGTTTAGATATTGACGTCACACAGTCAAATGAAAAAATACAAAACCATTGGTCCCGGGCTTCCGGATGCATTTAGACTTTAGTACCTATACATGCCCAATTCGCCAGCCACCGATGCCCTGTTTCTATCAAAGCACTTCTTTACATTGATAAGGCTAGTACCTATAAGAAGGCCAGATCAGATACTAAGTTGGTATAATAATACTCCATAGGTCCACGCGAAAACGACGATATCTTGGCCTGTCTGAAGTTAGCCATTGGATTTTTATAGAATAATATTCCTAAAAATCTAATGGCTAACTTGAGATAGGTACCTTGTACCTATATAGGTACTTGCTAACTGAGAAGCCAAAAACAGATAACTTTTGATCAAGCAAAAGAAATGTCGCCCGAACAGCAACTAAATTACCTGCTTTATCCTTGCGATCACTGCTTCCACCAATTCTTCTGATTTCAGCTCCCTATTCCTAATCTTCTTGGCCAAGGTCACAGCGCTCTCTGAGAGGAAGGAGTGCTTTGCCTCCAAGTCTGGTATGACCTGTTTCTTACGTTCCCAGTATAACGAGAAGAAGAACTCGAAAACAGTCTCGTACATCACTCGAATACATCTCACTACAGCTAATATCACTTTACACATTTTTGTATTCACTGAATCTTCTTTAATATTTATTTAAAAAAAACTGAAGCTTAACTCTTAGTTAGTTTCTGGAGTTATTCTTAAGAATAAAATAAATGCTCTAAGAAAATGAAAATTATACTTTCGGTGATTCATCAGAGTATTAAGATTTCGAGCGAAATTGAATCGGTAAAACTGTACTTCCAGTCCATGTAGCATGAGCACTACATTATACATTTTATCACGTTTTTTATCATGTCTTACTGTCAAATTCCATAGTAATTTGACAATTGAGCGTGATAAAAACGTGATATATGAGTCGTATAGTATCAAAGGCGGCAAAGTAGGGCGAACCAAAAATTTGGCAAATAAAAAAAACTGTTGTCTCGTCTTTAAGGGAGGATAAAATATTGACATTTCACTACGATTTGTAGTTATGATGAATGTCAATTATAAAAATCCTCCCTTAAAGACGAGACAACAGTTTTTTTTATTTGCCAAATTTTTGGTTCGCTCTACATTGCCGCCTTTGATACTATACGACTCATATATCATATCGCGCTGCTCATGCTAGGGGGGAAGGGCCTTCCTATTGAAAGTTGACGTAAGCGAATCAGTGTTTATAACACGAGTATAGGAAATATCGTAATGATTGTTAATGTCAAGGTACAGTTTTTATTGGAAAAGGTATCAACTTACATTACTTACATGCATTCAGCCCTAAATTCTGTAATGGAGCAATATCGCAAAGCAGTAACAGTACCTAAGCGTGTTTTGAAAGACATACCTACTCCGCGTATGATGTGTAACATTTGAAACCTCACCTTATATTAGTAAAAAAAGAAATAAAACCTACTACAAAAGGAATAAGCCATTTAAACATTATGTTCTAAAATCAAATAGCGCGCTAATCGCGACTTCCTGTTACACACTTCCATCCCATTTCACGTAATCACTCCCACAAATAGCAGGAAAGCGAGAGGAAAGATGTTACACATCAAAAACACGTTAGTCATTTGTAAACGCTGACTTTGAGTTTTAAATTATAATTAGCTAGGTAGGTATAATTGATGACGCCTAGCGAGACGTATGGCAAATATAATAAAAAAAGAACTGAACAATTGAGAGTCACGAAAACCAAATTCATCCTGTTAAACATAATATATTGATAATAGAAAATGTCTAAAAAAACAATCAGTACTATTAAAAATATTATTAGCACAGACAAAACATTTTTTTTTCGGAAGATGCAGGTTTAAATCCTGTCTGATGCCTGCACCGCGGGATACGTTTGTCTAGCAAATTTTTCTTTACATTTATAATTATAACAGTGAAATGCTAATAAAGAACACAATATGTTTGATGCTTCCTAGTCTATTTTACATAATAAACATAAACGTTTACCTAAATATTCTAAGACAAAATTCAGTGACAATTCTTTGGGACAATCCCGTGCTTACCGGCCATTTAGCAATCCTATCCTACCCTACTTCTTATCTCTCTCACAGTTTTTGAAGTGAAACTTTTTTACGCACGCTTGTCTTGGGGGGTAAGCTGGCGAATGCGTTACGTGTTACGAAAAGTGTGTTCGGGCGAGGCGAACGGGAGCTAAGTGGGGCATTATAAGCATGAGAAAGCAGTGCGCGCGCACATTTTCTTTCTCTCTTTCTCTTATAGCTACTAAATGAAATATGTATATGTACATACATGTTTAAATTGTACACACACATATACCTAGTCAGGTCATAAATTCTGTCATATGTTTAATATAAAATAATTGAAACAAGTTTATTCATTATGTAACCATTTATATACCAAAATGAACTTAACAAAACATAGATTCTTATGACAGTAAAGTTTATTCAAAATGACCTCCGTGATTTTGAATACAGGCCTTCAATCTGCGCGGCCAGTCGTCTATCGAAGCACGAACGAGATCCATGTCAATATCGGTGGCTGCCTTAATCAAGTATGTCTTGAGTGACTCCAAATTGGGATGAGGCTTTGAGCACGCCTTTTCCTCCAAGTGTTGCCATATCTCGTAATCTAACGGACTCAAATCTGGACTGGAGGAGGGCCAGTCTTCGTGCCGGATGAAGTCGATTTCACGAGCCGCCAGCCAGTCTTGTGTGCTGGCGCCGAATCTTGTTGGAACACCCAGTGTCTGTTATTGAACATGGTATGAGAAACAGGTTTCACAAGGGTCGTCAGGCCTGTATTTTGATACACAACTGCATTCTTTTTTACACCTTTCTCACAAAAATGTACCTCTGTTAATACCCAATAAGAAACTCCCAATCATACCATGAGCGAGGATGGAAAATGACCTCGTTGGACACGCGGAATACGGTTGCTCGCTTCTTCTCTACTGTGTACACCTTATCATTTTGTTTGTTGTAGCTCTCTTCTATGGTAAAAATTTTTCATCCGAAAAAAGAATTTCCCGATATTTTTTTCCCGCGTACCGCTTCAACAAAGCGCGGGATCTCTTCAGTCTCAGGTCCATTGAACGAGCATTTAAAGGATGTCCTGTTTTTCTTCGATATGCCCGAAGCCCTAAGTCTTCATTTAACACCATTTTCACCGTGGTTATGCTTAACCCCATCTGAAGGGCCAACAGTTTCTGCTTACGTTTGGGATTTCTTTGAATTCGCTCCTTCACAGCTTTTATCACTGCTAGAGTCCTAACAGACAGAGGGCGACCGCTTCTTGACCTGTCATCTACACTAGTCTTCATTGTATCGGTTGATCGTACGATAAACGAATCTTTTGGTTATATTCAAAATTTTCAGTATGTCAAAAATTTTAATTGGCGCGTAACCGCAACATTGCCGCAACGATGCAACGCAATAACTGCAGCACGGTCTTCTTTAAGCGTCCACTCCATATTTAAAAATGAGTTAAATCCTAAAAAGTATACATTTTTATTTTCATGAACAATTCGAAATTCGAATTCAATAAACCTTTTTGTGGTCAGCATTCTAAAAGAAAAGTTTTTACTGTGTGACTATACTTATGACCTGACTGTGTATATAATTATATACATACAGATAGAGCTAAAGAAGTTTCACTTCAGTCGTGTGGTCATAAGCACACTCGTTTTTTTTCTACTACAGCCATGAACAGAATTACCAATTTAAGTGCAAGGTGTGCTATACAGCAATATTTAGTGCATGCAGCAACAGTCCTTCGTCCATTTTTGGGTCCGATTAACAGCGCTTATTGCCAATTCATACGCTCTGTGGTGCATGACTGTTTCGTGGTTGGTTTCGTGCCTAGCAAGACTATTATAGCCCGGTGCGGTGACCTCATAAGCCCATTTTCGCCGCTTAAGTATCGTAGGCAGGCAACGCAACTTTGTTGTGTTAACATAATGTTGGACCTCTCCAAACAGTCCGAAACAAAAAAAAATATTTTGAAAATCCGTTCACAATTCACGAAAATGTCGACAAATAATACACAAAAAACATCATGTATGTGTATGTTTACTGTGTATTATGTATTGTTCTGTGGATTTATTTACGAATAGAGAACCTCCTTTGTTTTTTTTGTTTGAAGTCGGTGAGTTAAAAATGATGGAACAGGCTATTTAAAAACTGGTTTGTTTAGAAAATATCACTAGAATAAGTTCCACGCGGACCAGGGGGCCATTCGCCTAACGGAAATGCTTTGGAAAACGCTTACGCTTTCGATTGTATTTTGTTATTTTTGACCGCTCGAAGGTTTTCAAATACGTCACGCTCATTTTTTTAATATTGTTATTACCAATGCAAAAGAAAAAAAAGAGCGCGAGGCATTTGAAAACCTCAGGCGGCTAGAAATAACAAACTTAAATCTTGGCCCCCCGGCCCCAGAGTCAGACGAGACTCCAACCCGCACCATTATGCTACGGCGGTTTACTTTTTTCGTAAGAACGTTTTAAAAAAGAGTGAATAAACGTTACCTGAACAGCAAGACATTTCATATGGTTAAGACCCTGCCTAAAACACCCTATCCCGTAGCGTTTTAGAAACCATACTCACAGGCGAGTAACACCACAGAACGCACAAAAACCTCTTTCTGTGTTCTGTGAGATAAATACCATGTGATTTCTGCATGATAAATCAAGACCATGAAAATGTAATGATTCTCATAAAAACTTCCCTAAACGGAAACTCAAATGAGAAATGAAAATTCGAAACCTATGTCTACAGAGAGCTATAAAAATAAAATCGAACAAATGACAATGGAAACACTATTTATTATTAACCCTTTAACCCTTGGTCCGTGGGGTCCTAGCGCTATGAGGTTTTTTAAGGAAATATCAAAAAGGTTAGTCGACATCACTGGAGACCGAAAAGCTGGCAGCTACCTCGGACAACGAATTAGTCTAGCTATTCAAAGGGGGAACGTTGCCAGCATCTTCGGAACCTTGCCTAAAGGGACTCCTTTTAGTAACATATTTTAGTTGTTATATTATATTTTTTAAGGTTTTTAGTTTAAGGTTCATTGTTCCTGTATATATTAATGTACATATTTATTATTTATTTAATAATCAAAGGGATATACTTTTCACTGAGCTCTTATTGAAACTTAATAAAGCCGATCTTAATGAAATTTTATACGCACTAACGAGATTTTGACCCCCTTATAATTAAACGAAGAATAAGCTTGGATTAGTTACTCCATGTTTTGTCTCTGTGCATTGAAGGATAAATGGCATTTGAGTGACAACAAAATACGGCGTAACTATCTGAAGCTTATTCCAGGGGGCCATTCGCCTAACGGAAATGCTTTGGAAAACGCTAACGCTTTCGATTTTGTTTTGTTATACGCCGAAGGTTTTCAAATACCTCAAGCTCATTTTTTTTAATATTGTTATTACCAATGCAAAAGAAAACAAAAGAGCGCGAGACATTTAAACCCTCAGGCGGCTAGAAATAAAATAATGAAATCGTAAGCGTTAGCGTTATCCAAAGCATTTCCGTTAGTCCACGTAGAGCATGATAAATATTTTTGTTAAGTATATGCTCTTTTTAGTGATTCGGTTTTTATATATTTTTTTTATAGCTATCATGAAGAAAAAAGAATGTTTTTTGTTTCCCATTGAATTTAATTTGGTTTTTTGTGATCTTTAATATAGTTATTTTATCCCAAAGGACTTTTTTATTTTATTAGTGTCTTGGGCAAGGCGTAACCTAGGTAATCATCCAAAAGAACCTGGAAGAAGCTAATAAATTCTTCACACCTGGTTTATTAATAAGTGGGTGTACGTTTGAAACGTTTTAAAACTATCTTTATGATAAAGTTAATAAGACATCTGTAAAATTACGGATGTCTTACTAACTTTATCATAACATGCATAGCATTACATCACAGTAATTTTACTGTGATGTAATGCTATGTAATTTAGCACCTCGGTTATTGCGCTAAATGGGTGTAAAAACTTTATTT